TAACTACTGATGTAAAAAGGTTTGTACTGCAATGTCATGTATGTCAAAAAAATAAGTATTCGACGGTGGCAAGTCCAGGATTGTTGCAACCATTGCCAGTTCCTGATCAAGTTTGGCAGCAGGTGACTATGGATTTTATTGAGGGTTTACCTATGTCTTTTGGGAAGCAAGTCATTCTAGTAGTAGTGGACAAATTGAGTAAAGCAGCCCACTTCATGGCTCTTTCTCACCCTTATACAGCAAGGGATGTAGCACAGGTTTTCTTGGATCAAGTTTGTAAGCTGCATGGGGTCAAAAATAAAATAATTAAAAATAAGGGTTTGATTAGTAAAATTGTAGGGGGTCAGAGATGTAATATTGTAAAAATGGGGGATGTTATGGTAAAAAGTGAAATATATGTTTGAAGAAGGTACAATATTTTTCGCTTGACACATTCTCGCTCGACTTAGGGTAAATTTTCGCTTGTCTTTTCCGTCTCGCTCTTCATGGCGTTCGACTTCCTGTCGCTTGTCTTCCTCCGTGTCGTTGGAGCTGAACATCACTGTCTGTCGCTTGAGGGACCCTGCGGTGAGTGTTCGTTTAACATCATTTGCTTGATTTTGTGTGTATTTTTTATTGGGTTTCCATTGTTGTGTTTCTTTTCTGTTTATCTTTGATTGAGTTAGTAATGAAGGTGTTTTTCATGATTTAGGGTTAATTGAGTTGTGATGCTATATTAATGTCGAACAAGTGTTTGATGAAATGCTATAACGAATAATTGTATTTGCGCATTCTTGCTTTGTTTTCTGTTTATCATTGATTGGGTTTGTAATGAAAGTATTCTGTAGGGTTTAGGGTTAATTGAGTTGTGATGCTATATTAATGTCCAACAAGTATTTGATGAAATGCTACAATGAAGAATTGTATTTGCATGACAAACATTTTGTATAATATGCACAATGGTCATTGGTGGTGTTATGTGCATGACAAACATTTTACATTTTGTAAAATTCAATTAACTAGAGTTTTTTCTATTTTAGATCTTTGCTCCCACTGTACACAATGGTCATTGGTGGTGTTGTATGCTGAAATGTAAGGATGGAGAACTGTTTATATTAGATTCATTGGGCCATGATAATAGATCACGAAAACCAATTGATAGAGCTATAGTAAATGTTTGTTTTAAGTTGTTTACGTAGGTAATATAGTTAATTCAGAGCTATGTTTATTTGGCGAATAATGTAATATTGTGAACAGTTGCAATGTTTTGAACATCTATAGTCGCTGTTGGAAACAAAGTCATCGAGGACCACTGGAGAACTTAAGGTTACAAAGGAGGACTTGCCAATTCAACCAAACATGTTAGTATGTTATTATAGTTGAAATTTTGTTTGCAAAATGTTGTATGTAATGTGTGTAATAACTACATTCAATTGTGCAGGTATGATTGTGGATTGTTTGTTTTAAAATATATGGAGTTGTGGGATGGTGTGAGCAAAGTGAATGGGAAAATCATGGCTCATTACACATTGGTAAACATTAAAGTCATTGTATTATTGTTTTGTTTTTTATTACTATGAATATAATTTATTATGACATTCTTCATATTGTACAGGAGCAAGTTCAGAAATTTCGAGAAGAATATGTATGTAGATGGGTACTTCATTCTCAAAATCTTCATCGACAAGTCATGGTTATTGAATCAGGAGTTAACATCCTCATCTAGGAATAGAAATGTAGATATTGTATTTGATTATTTGTTCATCTTCATTGATGAATGATGTATAGTTTATTCATATGTAATATAACTGTTAAGTTGGTTATGGATCATTTAAATGTTAAATATTATGACATTAACAAGTGACTGATTTTTGGACCATGGTTACTATTTTTTGTATCATTTTTTATTTATTTTGACAATTACATTATTGATTGGGTTTTACTGTCCCAGTTGCACAATATCCCTATTCAGATGATGCAGACTATCTCCATGTAACAGAGAGTGTATATTGAGAACCACAGTTGTACAAAATACATTTAATTACTACCAGATTTATATTTTACGAACATATGAAGATGAAGATAACAAATAACTTCATGCTTAACAGATAACTTCATGCTTAATAGTTGTAAAGAATGCGCTTAACAAAAAACAGATAACTTCATGCTTAAAAGTTGTAAAGAATGCGCTTAACAAAAAACAGATTGAAATTTGCATGTCACGTCTCATTCAAGTTCAGCCTTGGCCACAGACGAAATGTCCAATGTAGTTAGCCACATACTGTAACATGGATAACCACATATTTGAATCACTTTCCGCTTGACCGAGAATAACGTCGCTTGAGCGAGAAACAAATCGAGAGTCCATATTTTTTGTTAGGGTACCTCGCTCAAGCGATGGACTTATCGCTTGAGCTAGTCTTGGCCGTAAACGTAACGTCCAACGCAGGTAGCCACATAATATGACATGGGTCACCACATCGAATCACTTATTGCTCGAGCGCTCATAACGTCGCTTGAGCGAGACATAACCCGAGAGTCTCCATTGTTTGAAATTATCGTCGCTCGAGCTACGACCTCCTCGCTTGAGCGACTGTTGACCTACTGAGGAAACTTCCAACGCAATTAGCCATATAATATAACTTGGTTGACCACATATAAGAACCACGTTTCGCTCAAGCGAGTATACCGTCGCTTGAGCGAGACAGAACCCGAGAGTCCCCCTTGTTTGAAGGATTCGTCGCTCAAGCGATGACTTTATCGCTTGAGCGAGTGTAGACCCATTGACGAAACGTCAAACGCAGTTAGCCAAATAATATAACTTGGTTCACCACATATTAGAATCACTTGTCGCTCAAGCGTTTATAACGTCGCTAGAGCGAGACAGAACCCGAGGGTCCCTATTGGTTAAGGTTCCATCGCTCAAGCGATGTCAGCCTCGCTTGAGCGACTATTGAACCACAGACCACAGACCTTAGATAGTGGTTACTAAGAACCGCTTTTAAAAATATATATAAGATAGCGGTTAGCTGTGAACCGCTGTCTAATGAATGTTTATAATAGCGGTTTCTTTATAACCGCTCCCTTATATCATACTTTTAAAGAGCGGTTGACCTTTGGAACGCTATAATAAATGTGGTTTAGATAGCGGTTGACCAACTAACCGCTATCTAAAGTCATATATGTATAATTGGATAATAATCGATCATAATTTTCGATAACCGATTATAGTTGGAGAACATCGATCATAGTTTGTGCTAAGCGATTATAGTTTTACATAATTTCGCTCTGCATCTCTCTCGTCGGTGCACGCAAAAGAAATGTTTAATATAGGGTTCTATTCTAATTACTCGTAGATTCTCTGTTCTCTGTTTTCGTTCACTGTTGACTGTCTCAATCGTCGTAAACATAAACCATGGCTGGCAAAAGAAAAAGCTCCAAGCGCACCCACTAAGAAGCGACTTCTTCAAGTACCCAAACTGTGACCACGAAGGAGGTGATGGCCCCAAAGGTTCTTGACACCCAATACATTCTGATTTTGTTAGAGTATATATGATAGGACATAAACGTGCAACAGTAGTGTAGACTATACATTCTGATCTTGTAAGAGTTGTGGATGTAAATATAACAATGTAACAGCAATTGTAATTTCTTCAATGCATTTATCAGCAGTTGATGGTCCATACATTTACGTAACAATCATCGGTTGTATATTACGTCGAATGAAAGACATGTAATAAAAATCACACTGCATGATAACAGCAAACTACCTTCAAAAAAAGCGAACCTAATTGTAGACATTTCAATACATAACAAACCAATAATATTAAAATAGTACAATCTAAATTTACATTGATGTTTATATGTCTACAACAATTAAAATTCACAAGTCAGTCATTATTACAATCCTTCAACTTCATGTTAACAAATTGTTCCACCAGTTCGTTGTAGATGAATTATTTTGTTAGGTTTTGTTGTAATTGTAAATGTGCAACACAATTAGTCACATAATATAACCTGAAATTTTAGTTGTAATTTGTCAAAATTTGAATTGTTTTCTACAATTATGTGAATATATATTGTATGCTGGCTGGATTTTGTTAGATTAATTTGAAATATACCCTGAAATCGTGGTGTATCAGGTACAAATTATGAGAAAATAAAATTGGAATTTCCAAATTTAAATATTTTTTTTTAAATTGGGACTTAAGATAGCGGTTCCCTGAACTGCTATCTAAACATACTAAAGAGAGCGGTTCTAGATCTAAACGCTATAAAAAGTACCTTTAAGATAGCGGTAAACTTGGAACCGCTATTATATGTTAAAAGTGACATATATGATAGCGGTTCCACTTTAACCGCTCTTAAGAGTGAATCAGATATCGCTCGAGCGAGACTCGTGTCGCTCAATCGAAACACAACCCAATAATCCCCAATTTTAGCAGGTGGCGTCGCTCGAGCGATGTCCATTTCGCTTGAGCGATTATGGAAAAATCAGATAAAATGATCGATTATACGTTATGATGATCGATTATAAATGGTATATGATCGGTTATATTTTGCTAATGAAGTCAAATCCGTTATTAACAAAGTATTGGGTGTCAAGGACCTTTGGGGCTATCACCTCCTTCGTGGTCACAGTTTGGGTACTTGAAGAAGTCGCTTCTGAGTGGGTGCGCTTGGAGCTTTTTCTTTTGCCAGTCATGGTTTATGTTTACCACGATTGAGATAGTCAACAGTGAACGAAAACAGAGAACAGAGAATCTGCGAGTAATTAGAACAGAACCCTATATTAAACATAGACGAATCAGAGCCGGGAGAGAACGAACGCCGGGAGAGAACGAACGTTTCTTTTGCATGCGCCGGTGAGAGAGATGCAGAGCGAAATTATGTAAAACTATAATCGCTTAGCACAAACTATGATCGATGTTCTCCAACTATAATCGATCATTCTCAATTATAATCGGTTATCGGAAATTATGATCGATTGTTGTCCAATTATAGTCGATCACTGTGACATTATGGGGCAAGTTGATGTAGCAAGGACCTTGCTGAACAAAATTCCCAGTCCCAATACTGTGCTCTATAATACATTAATCAATGGATATGTTGCTAGTGGAAGGTTTGAAGAAGCGAAGGATCTTCTGTACAACAACATGGTAACTGCGAGGTTATGAGCCCGATGCCTACACGTTTAACATAATGATTGATGGACTTTGCAAGAAAGGTTATTTGGTTTACGCCCTTGAATTTTTATCTCGAGGTGGTAGCAAAAGGCTTCGAGCCCAATGTGATCACGTACACCATATTGATAAATGGTTTCTGCAAGCAAGGCAGATTAGAGGAAGTGGCTGAAATTATGAATAGCATGTCGGCCAAGGGTCCGAGTCTCACTACGAGTGGGGTACATTTGCTTGATCCGTGCACTCTGTCCAAAGATGGGAAGATTGAAGAGGCTTTACAACTGTTTCGCGAAATGTCAAGCAAAGGATGTAAACCTGACATTTATACATTCAATTCTTTAATAAATGGGCTGTGCAAGAATGACAAAATGGACTAGGCCTTGAGTTTGTATCATGACATGTTTTTGGAGGGTGTTATTGCTAACACAGTAACATACAATACGTTGATCAATGCATTTCTTATGAGAGATTCAGTTCATCAAGCATTTAAGCTTGTCGATGAAATGCTATTTAGAGGGTGTCCTCTAGACAATATTACATATAATGGACTTATTAAAGTTCTCTGTAAAACTGGTGCAGTTGAAAAAGGATTGGGATTGTTTGAAGAAATGCTTGGGAAAGGGATTTTTCCAACCATTATCACTTGCAATATTCTGATCAGTGCCTTGTGCAAAATTGAGAAAGTAAATGACGCACTAAAATTTCTTGGGTCACCACTGAAGCAAGATGGATCGTTTTCAAGAAGCACTGAACAACTTGGGTCACCACATATTTCAATCAGCTATCACTCAAGCGAAATTACCCGTCGCTTGAGCGATAATTGACCCGAGATTTTAGATAGCGGTTCTAGAACTAACTGCTATTAAAAGTAAATTTAAGATAGCGGTTAAGGTGGAACCGCTATTATATGTTCGATTATTTTAAAATTATGATCGATTAGTTCACATTATAATCGATTATAAATTTCTTCGCTCAAGCGATGGAAGTATCGCTTGAGCAAAAATTGACCAGGGTCCAATTTTATTTGTGTCACATATGATAGCGGTTTCAAGTTAACCACTATCTAAAATATATTTGTAATAGCGGTTAGGTGTGGAACCTCTATCTTAGGTGTGGGTGACTGAGCATTGTAAATAGTTGCAGGTTTCCTCGCTCACGCGATGGGTCTCTCGCATGAGATAATTGACCATAGCTAAACGTCGAACGCAGTTAGCCACAAAATTCAACTTGGGTCACCACATATTTCAATAACTTCTCGCTCAAGCGAAAGTATGCGTCGCTTGAGCAATAATTGACCCGAGATTTTAGATAGCGGTTGCACAAGTAACCACTATTAACAGTATATTTAAGATAGCGGTTAATGTGGAACCGCTATTATATGTCGATTATTTTAAAATTATGATCGATTAGTCCACATTATAATCGATTATAAATTTATTCGCTCAAGCGAGAATTTTGTCGCTTCAGCGATAAGTGACCACGGTCCATCGCAGTTACCCAATCAATTCTCGCTCGTGCAAAGTAGTTGATCGCTTGAGCGAGAATTGACCAACGGCTAAACGTCCGACACAGTTAGCCAGATAACGCAACTTTCGTCACCACATATTTTAATCACTTCTCGCTCAAGCGAAAATACCCATCGCTTGAACGATAATTGATCGGAGATTACCCTTTGTTACAGATTTAATCGCTCAAGCGAAGTATTTATTCGCTTGAGCGATAATTGACCCGAGATTACCTTTTGTTACAGTTTTCCTCGCTCAAGCGAAAATGTATCTTCGCTGGAGCGAGAATTGACTGCGCGAAGTAATCGATCATAATATGAAATAATCGATTATTTTAATATGTGAACAGTAAACCGTCCTAATTGTGTAAATAATGTTCCAAATGTGCTATTTTGGAAAATATTTTTAAAAAGAGTATTATTTATGAAAAAAAATCCTTTTGTTGACCGTGATTACTATGTACTTTTCTATAATTTAGGACTTTTAAGTTTAATAATCATGTCTTGGGACCTTGTCAGTACAACTCTTTTTAATTTTCAAATTTAATTTCACATTTTTCTCTTTTATAAAACTTTTTTTATAAATGTCTGTGTCTTGATATATATTTTTACTAATAGAGCATGACGACGAATGCCTGAATAAAGGAGTAAAAATGCATAGACATTATCACAATAAAAAATATTAGAGTATTAAAAGAGACGACATTTTTTCTCACCAAAATATTGTTTTTTTACTGTATCTCACAAATGTCTATGGGACTCCTTTTGTAATTTTAGTTTTGATTAAAATTAGATTACTAAATATTCAACGACACCTAATTCAGTATATATGGTTTGACCATAACTCTTTTATTATATTAAACTAGATCCACAATAATTCATTAATATTTATTATTCATTAATATTTATTGAAAGTACGATTTAAATTTCTGTAACTTGTTATATAATTTTTTTCTTCTATTAAATTATTAAAATGACAAAATGTGTGTAGTAATTCGTATAATGAGATTGAAAAGTATAAGAAAAAGAAACAAATATTATAATATTTTATTTTTATTTATTTGTAATGTCATATAGGCTCAGAACATCCAATTAGTTGGATTTAAATTATTTAAAGGATAAACTTCCCTTTATATATATATATATATATATATATATATATATATATATATATATATATATATATAAATTTAATTCATTTATTGATTGAATAGAAATCCAAATAGATGAAATTAGTAGGGTCCTGAGAAATATATAAAAAATAATTTCTTAATCATACTTATTTTTAATCTAAATAAAATGAATATATCTACCCAAACCCTAAATATTATATTATATTATATTATACTATATTCTATATATATATATATATATATATATATATATATATATATATATATATATATATATATATATATATATATATATATATATATATATATATATATATATATATATATATAGATAGATAGATACTAAAAGTGTAATAATCTTATAATCATGAAATCCACTTCATTTCTAATTCACCAATTTAATATGAAGTTTGAATATACATTAGTTCTTAAACAAATATAATATAATCCAAATAACTTATTTGAAAATGTGTTATATACTAGTAAAAAGAGAACATAATACATTAACATTTATCTCATTGGAGTACATATCCCATATTGCATTTTACTCGGAAGAAAACCAAAAAGATTATATACTTGCAAAGCACATCATAATAAATAATAACAGTAGTATAATTTTTTATAGAGGTTATGAATTTTGGGAGCTTGCAGTCCTCTTAAAAAAGAAGTCTATGAAGAAAATAACTGAATTCAATATCTAATTATAAAAACTAAATTAAATAGATTGAGGCAGGTTAATATTCATATTTTCTAATTTTACTTATTGATTTTAATTAAGAACTTAATAATAAATTAAATTGATTTAATCCAAATTAACTATATATATAAAAAAGTGTACATTGGATGTAAGTAATTTTATAATAACTATATTGTTAACTTCGAATTATTATTATCATATATTAATATTTTATTATAACATAAATTTTAATTAAATTTATCAAGTCAGTCGGTGACCTCACGGTTTGACTTACTATACCTTATTGACTAGACCAATAAAAAATCATTTGAAAAAAAAAAAAAAGTTTTCAGATAAATTTATACTCCAAAAGGAAATCGAAGGCAATGTTGTTAGTAAATTGGACAGTGTAAATAGCAAAAGCCTAAACGATAAAGGGCAAGCTCTGTTCACCAAAAATGCCCAAATTAGGAATCGAAAATAGAAATGCAACCCACCCGAATCCAAAAACATATAAATTTTGGGAACAAATAGAAGAGCACCCAGAGTCAGCTAAAAAAAGTATCACCAGACCAGAACCGAGTTGTTTGATAAAAAAAAAAAGAAAAAAAAAGAAAAGAAAAACCAGAGGTGGTTCTCGCCCTACAACTACAATGGCTGACAAGCAAATCATTCCCCCAAAGCATGACCTCGATGCCAAATGGGACGCCTGCCTTGATCTCACTGTCCGTCGCTTCGTCTACTCCTCATCTGCCGGTGCATTTGCCGGTGCATTTGCCGGTTCAGTCAGTACCTTGTTTCTTTGATTCGTTTATTTGCGAAGATGCTCATGTTGTGGTTTTAATCTCTGAAGAAAATCCTACGTCCTTTTCATGTTTCTGACAGATGAAAGCACCACATTTTTCTGCCTTCATTCATATTCTGTCTGCGCAGCAATTATTCGTATTATATACTTTGTTTTTCCTATTGTATTAACCCTAAACAAAAACAAGTCTCCCAAATTCATCCCAATTCTTCTATCCATGATCGCAATAGATTCCCATCGAAAGACACATAATTAGGAGTAGGGAAGAATGCTAGATGTGACCACTTTTTGTGTGTGATTGATTTCTAGTGAGATTTCATTCACAACCCAAGTTTGATATCTGTGCCACATTATGTTCTGACCTTTTTGTTTTACAATTGTTTTTTAAAACATTTTCATTCTCTTCAGCAATCAATTTCTAATACGAAATCTATTTCATTTTTGAAATTGTTTCCATAACAAGTGCTTTGAGAACCAGAAAAATAGGCGAGAGATGTTTTCACGTGTTCTTTTTTCTTCAAGTACTCTATTCAAGTACTTAAGTGACAAAATTTAGAAAATTAAAATATGCTTAGAAGACAAACACTTTCAAATATGTTAGGGGTCAAATAAATTTTAGAAAAACAAATATGCTCTGATTCCACGCGGAAACTCATAAGAATGTGCCTAATACAAAAATAAATATTTAAACCACCTTGGTAATGTCCAAGGGCAATGACCTCTGGCTGGACCAGACGACATTCTAGGAAGATGATTGATGCTTTGGCGTGTTTTGTTTTGGTTCTTAGCTGAGTCTAATTTTGTGTGAAAATCAGTAAGTTCTGGGTTTTATAGAGGACATTCTAGTATCTCTAAAATTATGATTATTTTGGAGGCTTCTGTTGCATACAGTGTTTCTGGCAACAGGAGTGCTGCAGCCTACTTGAAAGGAATGAGCAGGGTGTAACAGGCCTTATGAGTAGCAGTGTCTTAGTAGCTCTCCAGGAAGGAACAACCAGGGGTGAAGGGTGTTGAAAGTTTGAAAGCCGGAGTCATTATAGGATTTTCTTTTGTTCTTGGACATTGGATGTTTTTGTCTTTTCTGTTTTTCTCACTTTATACTGGTTGTTCGGTTGAGTGTTTTTGGTGAAGATGGATTGTGTTATTTCACTTATTTGTCATTGTCAGCCTTGGTTTGTAGGAGAGTGTTAGATAATATTTACTTTGTCGTTAGATTGTCTTGGAATATCTTTTGAGTACGAATTGTGAGCTAATTGAGCAAGCAATTATAGAGTTGTCTACTGATTTTTTTTTGGGGCATTGTTTGGTTTTGAGAATCTTTATGTGTTTATTTGGTTTCAATTTTTCAATAGTTACATATATGAGAAAGTGAATATGAAAATAGAACACAACAAAAAGTTTGTTTCCCCTATTTCCCATAGTCACTTTTGAAAATAAGAAACAAAGTGAAAACATAAAATGCTTTTCCAAATCAAATAGCTCTTTTTAACTTTATTATTTTCCTTATTTTATATGATTACTTGGTTTCTTTCTTAGTGTACCTTAGATTGTACTAGTGATACTTGTACTTGATCTAGTTATTAGTATAAATAGGTGTATTATGTTAGCAAATAGGCTCATCATATTATTGTTAAATGTCTTTCCCTTGTTTCCCTCTTCCTTGACCTTAAACCTATATTTTCGTTATTAAAGCAATACTTTACTTGATTAGTTGCAAACATTAAAGAACAAACCACTCAACATCAATGTTTGTTTTGGTTCCTGCCATGAACTTGCCATAGCAATAGGTTTTATGTCCCTACAAATATAGCAATTTTGTTTGTATGTTCTTGCAAAATATAACATTTTTGTTCTTTGTTGATATGAGTGCAGTTTTTAAGTTAAGCATATAGGTGTTTGATACAATTAAGATGAGAAAACCCAAGAAAGATTCCCACTGGACACTAAGATAATCACTTATCTAGGTGTGAAGGTGTATTTCCAAGGATTCAAGAGAGGAGAGGAGAGGAAACAAAGCAGGAAACAACAAATAACATGGCTGAAAATGAAGCCAAACCAATGCAGTAAAATAAGAGAAGAAAAGGAAATAAAAATGGAGAAGAGAAGAAGTGGCAGTAAGGATGAAGGGGTGACATGCACTTGGGGGATTCACCAACCCAAGATGGGTGGTGGTTGTCATCACTTGAACCATGTTTCAAGATAAGACTAAGAGAAAAATAACACTCAAAGAGAAGAACTCTCAATTTTTCATTCAATTTCTAATCATTTACAAGAGGTGGGGAGCCTTCTCTATATAGACATGGGTGAGGGAGACCTAGAGGGAATTACATTAGGGATTCTAGAAGCACATGTTATCCTAATTTTAATCTAAAAGGGGTGGCTCCCCTTGTTTTCTCACCAAAATCGTGACCTTTCTCTTCTAGGAGGTCAAAGGTTGACCTTCTCTTCCCTCATGGGCTATCCATGCTATAAAGGCTTGGGTCCAAAGCTCATTTCCTCCAAAAAAAGTGGTGGACTTCAAATGATAGGTATCCTTTAGTAATCATACAAAAACAAGATTTAAATACGAGTCTAGAAAATTAAAGAGAAGGAAAAATACGAAATAAATTAAGGGATAACGGTGGGGAGGAGGATTCCCTTCTAGACATGCTTATGGTGATCCTTTTAGGGATGACATTTCCCTCCTCAAGGGAACTCAGGGACTTATCATTAGTCCATGTAAATATAATGCCTTTTGCTTTAGTCCATGCCATTACGTCCCTGCAAACTATACTGGTTTTTGTTTTTAGTCTCTATAGTGATGGAAAGGACTAAAACAAGTGATGAACATTAAAAGGATCAAAAACCAATTTTTTGCAAAGTGTAACGTCATTTTTTTTTCTAATTTATTTAATTTCTCAAAAATGGGAATAATTTTTTTTAACAATATTATTTCTTTATGACAATGAACTTTAAAATTGGTCATGCATGAATAAATATATATAAATAAGGTGTCGAACATGTTCATGCATAACATTCATAATCATAATACATTGTTTTTCAAAATAACTAATCCAACAAGGATCATACTATAATTACATAAAGTTGGTACCCTTAAACGATTAGAACTTAATTTAAATTTATACATCTCAAAATAAAGCAAATCCTAATCAGAGCAGGTACCCAAAATTCCTAACTTTCTTATACAAGATCATACCCCTCCAGGAGGCCAGCATTCTTCCATACATATGTATATGATACTCAATCAAACTGTTGTTCCTCCACCACAATTGTTCCATCATTACCTGAAATATAACAGTAAGGATGAGTTTCCTTTTCTCATCATTCCAGAACACTAAACCGAAATTTTTTCCAACCTCCACAATCTAAAACCATATGTAACATTTATAGTCAAACATTTCATTTTTACAATAAAGTATCCCACACAGAAACTTCAAACAATTTCCACAAATCACATTACTCAAACTAAAAACACACAATACATGTTTGTGTTTCATTCGTTCATTTTTGCCACATTTGAAATGCTCATGCACCTAGGATACACTATCAATCCCATCTTTCAATCCATGAAAGGGTCACACATAAGTACAGACAACTCTCACAAGCATAACAAAATTACACACGAGCATAAATAGCTCACAGAAGTATAGATAGTTGTCGGTTGATCTGCGCATCACAGATACAATGCTTACGCATAACGATCCCTTGGCAAAAAGGCAAAGTCAAAGAGTCAAGTCGGGAGTATAGAGCGTGGCCAAACAATACACTCTATATTTCCCCAAGATCAATCTGATCTTCTCTTATCTCCTAAGCCCCCGGTGTATCTCCATACCATCCACACACATATCTCGTCACTGAGTGACACCACCAACTCTTTAACAACAATATATTTGGTAGGAACAAACTCTACATCATACAGACCATATCACTATAGATATAATACCCTATTTTTAGATGACCAACATCTCTGACTTAGACTCAGCACATAGTACAAACAGCTTATAGACATGATTTCCACTAACTATCATGATTATGAATGCATTAACTATTCATAACGTTTCTTTATACCATTCTTATTAAGCTTTATTTATTTTTCATCAATTTCAAAAATTTGACAGAGTCTCCTTTGTAATTTGGACATTTCCCAATTTACAAATACATTCAAATAAAATTTATAAACACATTTTCCTGCATCAAACAAGAACAATAAAAATTTGTCGAGAGTCGGACACTCTCGGACTCAGCACACATTTCGATCCATCAAATTTTCTAAACTCTTGTTATTCTAATCTTGTGTCCCAAAATATCTCATTACACTATCATTCTCACGTCATAAATAATAGGTCCAGAACTAAAGTTTTGTTTACACTTCTCTAGGAAGAAAAATCTATCATAAGCATTAGAAAAATGTAACTTTGGAAAAATTCTTTGCCATCTAAACTAACTCCAAATTCTATGAAATTTTCCAGTCCAAAATACATATATTCTAGGATTATAATAAAAATTATAATTCAAAATTTAAAGATTTCTAAGTCATTCAAAACTTTCCTCCATTTTCATACGTTTTGAAGATTCCACTATGAGGGCATTACTCAAAGATATATTTTTATAAAATAAAATAATGGTCATAAAATTATGAAAATAAATATACTTAACATATACCTACAATCACAACTATGATAAAAATTTCATCTCAAAAAACTTCAATTTCGATTTTCTATGATTTTTCAAAGTTGCTGAGCGAACATAACAATTCTGTTTCACCCAACTCAAAACATATTTACTTCCAAGATTTTTCATCGAAAATCAACTGGTCAGAAAATTTTGAAATAAATCACACAGAAACTAGACATATAAAGGAACATGTAATCAAAATTTCAGAATTAAATACCAAGTAAATATTTTACATAATTTCCCAAAGATTCTATTTACATGCAGATTCTTGTCCAATAATATCTCTCAACACATATTTCATCATCTTCCTCTAGAAAAATCCAATTTAAGTGATTTTATGGCTAACTCTAGGTTTTAAGATCCAAGGAATCCATTTCTAAACTCTAAAATATGAAAGGAGCATTGTAGAGTATCTAAATATACTAGAATAGCCATACGAAATTTTTATAAAACATTTTAATTTGGTTCCAATTAATGTAGAAGTGAGATAAATGATGGTTTAGCCTAGGGTTGATGACAAGAAGACTCTCCTTACCTCAAATGAAGCTTTCAAACAAGAAAATGGAGATCCTTAGTTCAAGAAAAGTTTGTCTCCTATAAGCATCAAAATGACCATATGTTTGAGATTAAGGAGATTTTAGGAGATAATATTGAAATCCAATGCTTTAATTTCATGGATCTTACTCTTAATTGCAAAAAGGATGAACCAAGATGGTGTGGGCAAGCAAAACCAAGCTTCTCTTCTTCCTCCCGTGCTCCCAAAATGGCTTCCATAAGTGAGAAAGAAAATTGGTCTTTCTCTTCTTTAAATTTAACCTCCTTTCCAAAATTACCCTCACTTACTTTTTCACTTACCAATTAAATTCTTTCATCAATGGTAAATTATATTACTAATTTTGCTTAATGATATTACTCTTATTATTATTATTACTTCATTTTAAACTCAATTGTAAATTTATCTATTTCACTCTATTATAAATTTCATAATATATATATATATATATATATTATTTATTAATATCTTTAAAAATTATCAAGTCTTAAAATAACTCATAATACCATTTTATTAAAGTTAATGACAAAATATTTTATTATATTAATGAAATATTTTTGGGAAATACTGGATGTTACACAAAGGCTAAAAGCAAGATGCTGTATTTGCAGGAATGTAGAACATAGTTAAGCCTCATTTTTGTTTTAATTTTAGCACAACAATAATGTTGTTTGATAACTTTAGTTCTTTACCATGTCTTTGCTCATGCAGATTTTGATTCAAACTAATCAACTAAATCATCTGCAATCCCATGATTTCTTTTTTAGTATGTCTTTTGGTGTGCATATTGAAAATAATTTTTGAATGTTCTATCTGTTTTGCGAAATTTGCATCCACTGCCTCTGAGGCTGTTATGGTTGCATTGAAGGCCAATGTTAGTTTGAAAAAAGAATGATCGCCTATTTTTTTACAAAGTTTGTTGAGCATACAATTTATGACATGTAAGCCAATTTTTTGGTTGTGTCATGATTAGTGTTGTCATTAATAGTCTCATCTTAATTAGAAAATTTGGTATTTATAATCAATTTAAGCTTCTGGTTTTATTTTTTTACATTATAAAAAGCAAGGTTAAGTTATTTCTATGTTGGTGGTTTAGATTGGTGTTTGTAATGTCTTTTATTATATAATACAATCATTTTTTAACATATATGGTTGAGACTTTCCCAAATTGTTAATGTTGAGTTTCTTGGCTTCTGATTCTTGTACTAGGGAGTCCTGTAACTCGGTGGGCATCTATTGCTTTTGGTGCTGGAGTTGGAATCGGATCTGCATATGCAGAATGTTCTCGTCTATTTGATGGATCTCCAACAAAATTACCCTTACATAATGTCTCCGAAACTGCTTCTCAGGTACGATTTGTCTTTTATTTTCTTGCTTATATATAATGCTACAATCCAATTACAAGTTAGGGGGTCTTAGTCCCACACCATCATTGGAAGTATGGGATTGTGGTGTTTATAGGCATTGGGCTTCCCAACTACAATGGCTAGCTTTTGTGGTGTGGTTCTCCCAATCTTTCTTATCACATGATCATTTGGCATGATTGTTCAAAACAAATGTGATATGTCATACTCATTTGTGAAAACTAATTAGCAGATTGAGTTATAGTGGTAAGATTTAACTTATACTTACTGGAAATGGAACAGAAATAAATCATGGACAATGACAGTGATATAGTGTAATTGCATTGAGTAGTGTTGCAGAAGGTGATAACTATAGGTTCTCATTTCCATCATAGTAGTCTATCTTAAAAAATGATGCAGAGCAACCCAAAAATGTTATTGAGTGTAATTATTTGCATCTTTCTTACGGTTTTGACTTTCACTCTCAAATTCGAGGCCACTGTAGCACAATAGCAGTAAAATGTGCCTGTCACAGACACTATTGTAAACAAGGTTAAACATCTACCATTTACCCTTGACTTCTGAATCTCATCTGTTTTGGTTGATAGTCTCATAATTTCTGATGCTCTTTTACTTTAGAAACATAATTGGATTTGAAACTGTTCTTCAGTCATTCAGGCAAAAAGTTACTTGTCTTGAACTCTGTTATCTGACCCACTACTAGCTGGCATCTGTTTGTGGCTCACCCATTGACCCTCATAAGTATATGTTCTTCCTGTTATCACCACTCAACCATCAGACCTTAGTATTTGTGTACACCTAAAAGCTCACAAATGTCTGTCCTTTTTTACTTATTTATTTTTGTGCTGTTTTTCTTGTAAACTTTATACTTTTCAGGTTTATATATATATATATATATTATTCGTTCTTCTTCTTGCATACTTCACAAAATTCACATTGACTTGTTTTTTTTTTCTCCTTTTACTATGATTTTCATCACCTTTCATTTTTGGCATAATTCCTATGTTCTTCTTGCTCCTAGATTGATGGTGGTTGTTTGTAAAGACAATGACAATACCTATGATATATTTATATAATTTTTGGTAATTTTTGCGTATTTATGTTGATGTACTATTAAAATATCTAGTTTGGATTACAGTGTTTGTAATATCATGTACTATCTTGTCATCCCCTCTCTCCTTGTAGCATTTACTTTTCTAGATGCATGCATTGCTATTCATCCATGAATTGAGAAAAAGACAGTGCACTATGACACTGATATATTGTATTTATATGAGAGAGAAAAACAAAAGAGAGGTTGGGCTCTTGCCCTAATACTAAATCTGGGTACATACATTATAAAAATAAAATAAAACATATTTTAACACGATGATTGATAACTATGAATATGAAATTGATAATGGTAAAATCAGACACTTAATAGCAAAGTTGTTGTGATAAAAGAAACAGGTTGTTTGTGTGTTTACACGGAGAAGTGAAATAATCTAAATCAGCACACTAGTCTTTAGAATTTTGATACTTGGTGTGGTGTTTAGGATGGATAATATAATAGCCTCTCCATCCCACTATTATCCCCACAGCACACCTTCATCCTTGTCCTGACTTTGCATTTAAATTTAAATCCTAAAATATTAACCCTCTTTCAATGCCTCTTTTTCTTTCTCACATTACTCAAAATGCCGTTTTTTCTATGTTCTACACTATTCTCTTTTCTCCCACCCTTCACTCTTTGACCTTCTCTAATCTCTTCAACTAGTTTAGCATGCTCCCTTCACTAATTCACCTTCCCCAGTTTCTTCAACTAGTTCGAGGAACACGTAAACTAGTTCGAGGAACACATAAGGTTACTCTTTGTTTTATTATCATTTTCTAAATAGTGTGTATCGCTCTTTGCGTACTATTGTATTTTTTAGTCATTTTTATTAGGTTTTGTTATGTCATGTTTTTCTAGATTTTAATATTCTTATTCATCAAATCTCAAATTTTATGGTAAATAAATAATTGTATTTTTTATCTTTTATTTGATTACAAGTCTTATTTAAAAAAAAAAAAAACTAATTGTTGTAAAATGGGGCTGAGAAGAAAAAGGAGTCAAGAAAAAATAACATATATCTTATTTTGTAGTTGTAAGAATTTTTTGTATATAATGGAAGATAATAGAACAACACAAGTACACATTGCAAAAGAGAACCTTAACTTTGATGGACCTACTCATACACCAAATGAAGTTCCACCAACAACGAAAGATGATGAACATGATTGATAATATTTCATATTTGTTTTGGAGGATTATTAATTGGAACTTGTTTCTATTATATTATGTGTTTTAAAGGATTGATAATTTTGAAGGATTGATTGTTGAAACCCCTATCACTTTGTATTAATTCAATATGAATTAACGTATTAATTATTTTCTTATAAATTATAGATTTCATATTTACTAACATTTTAAAATGACAAACCTAATAAATGTTAACTTATAGATGTGATAAAAGGTTTAATTAGTATGTAATAATAACAATGTTCTACATCCATATTATGCCTATGAAAAAATAATTGATCAAACATTTTTGTACATAAATATTTTAATATAAAAATAATAAATTAAAATATATACATAATCAATAAAAATAATTTTAAAGTTGTAAAATTACAAATATTTATGTACAAGAAATAACACAAAAAATAATGTTAAAATTAATTTATTACAATTTATGAATAATTTTTTAAAATAAGATAGAATGGGGGAACCCAAGGCGGAGTTAGGAACTCAATTTCTAATATCCGCAGGATTTAGAGGTGGGGATGAGTAAGGAAGTCAGGTAGGGGAGCCGGGTCTGGCTTGTCTAATCTTATATCATCTATATCATATGATAAAATTCGAGTTTGGTCTCTCACAAAAATAAAATACTACTGATTATAATCAGATTTTCCTCATTTTTAGCTTTCCTAGGTACTGTAATTATTAGCTCTGCTAGTTACTATCAATGATACGATCCCAAATCTTTCAATCAATTAGGATTAATGGTTGGTTTATGACGCATTAGAGAGAGTAATAATCATTGACATCCCTAATCAGTGTCCTCCTAGTCTGAACTTGTCACTTTCATTCTTCTTTTGTATCTTTTTGCTGATATATATACATACTGCTGTCGCTTACTCAAATGATCAAGAATATCTAACTTTTTTAATAAATATTATGTATTTAATCCAATAGCATGTAATCATGTACACTGCCATTTGTTTATTGGAGTATTTGATTAGTTTAGTATTTTCAGAGTATGTAAGAATTTATTTTCCGTTTAAAGGAAGAAGAAATAAATTATCTTTCGTGAATTGATAGGAACATGAATTGTGTTGATTTCTGACCAATAAGATAAAATAGTTGAATGTGTTCTTAAATGTAATCGGAGTGACCCATCCATAAGGTTGGGGTAATAAGTGTCAGGGCTGTTCAAATTGTGACAGCTGTTTGAGTTTTTTTTTTTTTTTTTTTAAAGATCGGGTAATAGCTGTACTTAGTCATAAGTTTGTGCTTGTGTTCCCGGTTTAGTAAATATACCGTGATTCTGTCTTTTTTCCGGTTGTTTGAAGGCTATTTTAATGATGTTTGCCCAGTTCAATAACAATGCTCCGGGGTTCACTAGTGCCATTATACTGTATATTCCCAAAACTTTTTTTATTTCAGTTCTAACCGGGCACCAGTCTGAAACTGGCATTTAAAGAACTATTTAGTATATTAGAACATAATTAACGTACTTTCTGCTTTTGTTTCCAGAATGTGCGTGGCTTTGAGTAGACGCTACAAATTGCAGGTGAATCTGAATTTTCTTGTCGTTCATGGTTCCTTATAGCATTATTGCTCTTCCAATTGTCGCACTACCATGATTTCATAAATGAACAAACATCAACTATATTTTATTCCCTACCTTTTACAAACATTTGTTCCCTTGTAATCTGAGCACTGTTGATGTGGAGAAGGATTGAAAAGGCAAAGGAAGTGTTCTTCAGATTTAATTTTCTATTAGCTTTACTTTTAACCCGGTCTAGTTAGCATACTTTGCTTGCCATTGTTTTCAAATTGGATTTAAGATTGAACTGAACATTTCAGGCGATGACTCTATCTGTCTATAATGTTTGAGCATGATATCTTGATATTTTGATGTAATATATTAATAAATTTAATGACGGATTATACAATTCAAATATAAGTTCAGTTGTAAAATTGAAATATTTCTAGTTTATTCTTATTCTGGATCGCATCCCAATTATTTTCTGTTGATGGATTTATGGTCTGTTTTCCGGGTTTAGGAGCTGTTTTTGTTTTTAGAAGCAAAGAACAAAACCTTGTAGATTTATAAGGCTACATAGGAATGTTATTGGTTAGGGAGTGTGATTTATAAAAGGTATATAAATTACATTTTTTGTAAACTTATTTTGATGGAAAAAAAAAGTCTTGTAGATTTAAAAGGCTACGAAATGTTATGAATTATAATTTTTTGTTGATTAAGATTTTGTAATGTGTAATTTAATGGATATATATCAAGATATCTTTAGCCAAGATTTTAGGGTTTAGTTTGGTAAGGATAACTCTAGCGGAAGTAATGAGTTGTTTTACATGTTAAAAAATGTAAAATATCAGTTCCATTTATTCACCTCATTAGTTCAAACAGAAGTAATCTTAAGAAAAGTAATTTACCATTTAGTAATTTTTTTATTTAGATTAATTATGGTATATACTAATATTTATTAATATAAAATAATTAAATGTAATTAGTAACTTTGTAAAAAACTAACATTTTTAGTGAAAATTTTAATTCATTTTTTTCTTGAAAAAATAATTACTTGAGTAGTCAATCGCACAATGCTTTAATTTAAAAATAATTTTAATTATTTAATTCTTCTATACACTTATAATTTTGAAAAATAAATGGAAATTTTTTGTGATAAATTATAATAATATTGATAATTAATTGAAATTCTAAAAGAAACAGTTGATATAGAAAATGAAATTTTTGAGGTGGAAAAAATGTGAGCAAAATTTTCTACACTAAACATAGAAAATTCATAACTTCATCTTTTTTTAAGGTTGTGTCTTCAACTTTCCAATGCTTTTCTTTCTCCGTATTTGGCTACGTCTTTATTTCCCGCGTTCCTTTCTTCTTGGGCGCCCTTCTTCCACTTCCCTTTTCCTTTCTCCTTAGCCTTTTTTTTTTTCTTAACCACTTCGCATCGGAACGATGGTTTTGCCTGGCTCCGTTGCAGTTACACGTGATTTAGTGTGATGACTCCACGTGGTTTCGTTGTTGCCTCCGAGGTCGAGATCAGGCCGTCCTTGATCAAGATCTGAGCGTCTGTGTCAGAGATCATTGCTCGCGCATTGTTGCTTGTGTTCACGCCGCGTTGTGATTTTTTGTTTGTCTTTTTGTGGTGATATATATTATGTTTCATGTTTAAATCTATGTTCCTTTAATATGTTTATCTCTTCTGCGGTTTGTTCCTTTCACGGGTAACGGTTTTGTTAGTCAAATAAAATAATAATGTGTACTTTTAAGCAATAATTGCTTGAAGAAGCAACTGAGACAAATTTTAAGCAAGAAAATTATGTAATCATAGTTGAAAAAAAGTATGAATTCTTGATCTGTCAATGTGTCAGTCTCCCAAAATTTAAGATATTATTTTTTGGTAAAAGATTTATGACAACTAAGGAAGCTTGTGATATTCTAAACAAATCATATGAAGTTGTTGAAAAATCAAGGTAAAGTTTCAGTTGCTTGAAGCCAGAGGTTTCATTCAAGCAAATAACGACCAAGGAATTTTGACTCTTAATTATTTGACTACATTGTGATGGCAATAGAGGAATAAAAAGTTGTTGGAAATATGAAGGTGGAGGAGTTATAGATCTTCCTTGAAGTCATGAATAAAGGCCTCTTATGAGTAATGCTTAAGAGAATCAATGCTTAGGTTTTCACATGTAGAAGCTTTTGGAAGAAATTATAGTTGGGACAACTAAAACAAGAAGGAGAATTGGAAGAACAAATTAAAAGATTTTGGTGAAAGTCCTTCTAGGCTCTCAAATTGAAATTTTGGTGGTGACAATCATAAAAAAGAATGAAGGTCATGAAAAATTTGGCCAGAGAAGAGGAAATCAGAGTAAAGGAGGAAAATATGATAGAATTATCCATAATGGGATCATTAAGAATAATAAGGGAAGGGAAAGGACACAAGATGATAATCATGATTTGGTTTCAAATATGATTATTAGTATTTAGACACTAAGTGATCAAATCGCACGACTGAAAATAAAGAATGGTTTGTCATTAATATGGACTAAAAAGTTAAAAAAATAAAAAAGTTGAATGATAATAGGACTGCTAGAGTCAAAGGAAAGCATAATGTTCTTATGAAAAGAAGAGATGAAAATTAAGTATTTATAATAAATGTTCTATAAATGCAATAAATGAAAACCAATTTGATACACTTCAGATAATTATTGGAGAAATGTTATGTCATGAATATGAAGTAGAATACAATGAAAATGGAAGACCATTGTTAGTATTAACATGTTAAGACGCAACTGTTGTATATATACAATTTTATATAATCAAATGATCATATAGCCAGTCTCTCATAATCACGTAAGCTTGTTCGGCATCCACATCTTCTTCAGGAGATCCAGGGCGGTGAGCAAATCCGTGACCTCTACCTGGGAACACCACTACTTTGGAACCCCCGCAAATTTTTTTCTGAATATTCTCTATTTCACTTACCACGCAAAGTGGGTCATTATCTCCTAAAATAAATAAGACAGGAGCCTTTATATCAGAAGCAGCAAGGTGAGCCATCCTTGTACCATAAAAGGAGATTCCAGTGCCAAAACAAGAACCTTGATCTTGGGCCAGCACCTTTAACACTTGGCCACCTCCAAAGCAGAAGCCAATAATGCCAAGTTTCTTGGAAATCCCTGCAGCCATAAATTCATCAACCAGCCATTTTGTCCATCTGCTAATGTCTTCTGCTATCCTCTCTAGGTTTTGTCTAGTAATCCACTTTTCAAACACATCTGGCTGCTCCTTTGTCCATGGATTTCCACGAAATAAGTCTGGAACTAGAATGCTGCAAATTTGTTCGAAGTAAATTCGCTAACAATGGTATCATAAAGTGAAAACAGCCACTACACAATGTGGATTGCAAATCTTAATACGTTATTGATGAGTAGGAGTTGAGGAGCATACTTGTAACCATTGCAAGCTACCCGATATGCAAAATCTCTAGTGAAAGAATCCTCAAACCCGAAAACATCTGAAAGAAGCAATAGACCTGTTCCATTGTTATTTTTTACTGCCTTGAACAGATAAGCACGGATATTATCATCACCCTCCCCAAGTGAAAGCTCCACTCCATTGACTAATTCACATGCTTCATCATCTATCCCATCTTCCACATTCAGTAAACTACATGATATTTTTGAGTCTGCAGCATCTTGAGTTGATTTTCGAAGATTCAAATCGAACTTTTTCTGAAAACATGCTGAAGAATCGCATTCAACAAGGTAAATATACTCCATGAGGTATAGAAGAGGCTATTATGTGAGGTAATTCAGGAATTTGAGTTAGTAAATAAAAATAAAAGAAGAAACTCAAGCACGAACTGAATTTGCTCTTAGTGTCAGAATTTGGAGTCCAAAGTAGGATCCAACCACTCCATGTATGCATGCCTTTACAGGTGTAAAGATCAATTAAGCCAGTGTGGTTTTTTCTGTGATATGAATTTCAAGAGGAAATAAAAGCGGTGACGCGTTTAATGGATTACTTGAAGCATTCAAGTAACATTATAATATTCTATGTCATTTAGCAATGTAAAACAATGTTAAGAAATGAGAGAAATAAGAGATTAAGAAAATTTTCTTAGTTGGCTTGAGTGAGAGAACCACCCAACAGATTTATAATTTATAGGCATGAGGATTACAAGATAATAAAAACTGTGAAGGATTAGATATGATTTCACAATCACAGAATTTTGGTACCAACTTACATGGTTCACTCCAGACTGTCCATCAGTTTGTGTCTCACTGTTACATATGTAAACTGACTTAAATACACACGGCTAAGCTCCAACCATTTCTTGTTCCTCCTTGACGGTGGAGAGAACATTAGAATGAATATCATCGTAAGACATCCAAAATCAAAAGGTCGCACCACCATCTAAGTAGGCCATTCTCAGCACTAACATCAAGCTTCTAAGAAAAACTCTTGATGGGATTCAAAGAAGGGTTACTTACTGCATTGGTAGGGGACCTATATTCAAGAGTAAACAACACCTCACGAAATCTAAGTACAAATCAGCATATCACCCTTAAAATGAAGGACACACTAAGGTAAGGAATGGCACACCAATGGTTTTCTCACCAAACCAATAATGGTTTTACACAACAGCAATACTCTTCCAATTGAATATTTTGAACAGAAATTATGTGATTAGAAAGTCTTTAAAAAAGAAAAAAAGGGAAGAAGAACAAAGGTGAAGGGAATGAAGAACATACGGAAGAGAGGAGAAACAGAGGTTGGGGGGAAACGGCACTGACGGCTGAGAGGCTTTACCATGTTTATTCCAACACAAACACAAACCGATCCCATGCTTGCCCTTACAACTGTTGACAGCCCCATTTTGCTTGTTGCTTCCAACTCTAGCCTTGAAGAGGAATGCAAATAAATGCTTGGTTTCCGAGGTAGATATTTCATATTGCGTTCTATCCCTTGTATTATCCTTTGCCAAATCAAATACTACATTATTAAACTTGTACATGTGTATTATTCTTAATAAATATTTATTTTAATTAATCGTAATTTTCTAAAATTAATCATAAGTTTTTTATTCCGGCTGTGAGTGCCAAATATCTCGGAGTTGCGACCAATCCAATTCAAATAATTTAGTTTATGTTGGATTAATTCAATGTTGCAGCTAGGTAGTTTATATTTAACTGATTCACCATTTAATTTTGAAAAAAATAAGAAAATGGATAACAATGCGATTCATCTTATCTTGAGTAGGCCTTAGTTAGGCCGCCAGCGCATTTTTGTATCACATGGAACGTTGTGGCTAACGTACACCACCCATGTACACTTTTTCAGCCTCCACCATTTCGGTTTAAATAAGCATATTCTCTCTCTTTCTCTTTCTTTTCAAAGCGTCGTTTTCGTAATCGTAATTTCCTTCGTAAGCGTCTCTGTGATCATCCTCTGCTCTGTTTCTCCACTCACTCTCTTTTCTCTTTTTCCTTTTTTTTTTAAATCGTTTTCTTACTTATCTATCTTTTACATTAAAAATCTTCTTGCGCCTTACCTTACCTGTTCGTCATCCAAGGTTCTGGACCCAGAAACGATAAAATCCATTGCCCCAGTCAAAGGTCTGAATGGATCTGTCTGCTCTTCATGCGACGAACCTTTTCCACACAAATTCGTTTTCCCAAAGACCCATTTCCTCCAATTTGGGAATAACTGGAGTTCCTTTCAGAGTTGTAGATGGACGAGTGTTTGAGATCACTGGCCTATGGCGAAAGTCATACTGTAAAGGATATCGCCCATTTGTTGTCAGCGCCACCGGCAAGAAGAATAATGACAACTCTTCTTCTGGTCCGTCATTAATTTTATATTTACATTTTTTTTATAATCAATAACTGCTTGTTTTCCAAGAAGAAAATTCGTTCAGTCGTTTCATTCGTCTGAGATCACAATTACATATGGGAACGTGACATGCATGTCAATTGATTTTGGGTATCTTTGAGTGTTAGGGTTTGGAGGGGGAAAGAAACGGTGGACAAATTTTTCATTTTTAATTATTAATAAATATTCTCTTATTTATATATTTTATAAAAATAACGTGTTAATGTGTTATAATATGGTAATTGTTTGTTTACTTTTAAAATTATAAACAATATATAACTGTAAAAATAGAGCATTTGGCCTCCTTTTGTTGCTTAATATAATTTTCTCCTCCTCAATCCCAAATATCCATGTCATCCTTCTTCTCTGAAGTGTGAAGCTTACCTTACCTTACCTTCGTGGACTAAGGTCCCTGTTATTTATTATTTTTATGCTTTATTTTTGTTAATGCTGCTTCCCCTCCCCCCCCTGGAAATTCATTGGGTCTAGCTCAATACTGTATTTCCTTCCACATAACATAGTTCAATTCTGGAAATAGTTTTATCATTAGGATTTAACATTTTTACACTTCCCATTTTTTCAATTTTTTTTTTCTGAAATCTCTCCCAATCTTTAGCAATGAAAAGAAAATATGATTTCAATTTGACGAGATTCAACAAATGAAAGAACACATCCAATCCAAAAATCAACGGTTTTGTTGCCTGTTCATCAAGTTCACTAGAACTTGCTTTTTTGCATGCGAGAGAGAGCTATCTTGAACTGATGAAAATGAGGAATAGTCATAGGTCATTCCTTTGTTTAATTTATGATTTCAATTTTAAAATTGCCAACCTGGGGTGCTATGTTAATAATATATACAACTAGTGAATAGTTTTGCAGTTGTGTTGCAGTAATCTTGTTCTTTTGTACAAACTTGATACACATTTGTAATTTTAGGGGAAAAAATCATAAGAACTAAATAAAAACATAATCAGTGATTTACTTTTGTTAGTCTGTGAACATGTTTGGGTGAAAAGATTAGTTCATATGAGGCATTTCTGAAGTATGGACAGTATGAAGTTCTAAATAGTTTCTTAACTTAGTGTTTTGTGCAACTGGATTTAATTAAAAACACTTGCATTCTCCCAATTATAGACTATCATGTATGGTAAGAATTTTTCCTTTGTAATAACTACCTTGAAACTTATACCCATGATGATTTCTAATTGTTTGACAGTGTAACAATCTTTATTACATTCTTATGCTACTATCTTTGTTGGGGACTTGGTATATATTTTGTTCCTCTAAAGGTACTATCTCTTCTTTTTGTTTGGAAAGCGTAGAAGCGAGGCCGAATGATCTTACTATCAAATTGGTCTGTGTTATTTATTTTTCTTGTACCATATTTGTCATGAATGGGAGTAGTATTTATTTGGCTTAATTGCACTTTAGGTCTCTCAAGTATTGCAATTGTACTATTTTAGTTCTCCAAGTTTCATTTGCACTAATTGAGTCCTTCAAGTATCACAAATGTATGATTTTAGACGTCCAAATTCTAATTGTTATCCATTAAATTTCCCAAATATCGCAATTATGCAAGTTTCAATCCGTCCATTGGAATTTGTGACATGACAATAACTTGTGACATGTCTGACGAACTAAAATCGCACAGTTGCAATAGTTGGGGATCTAATTTGTACAATTGGAACATGGGGGACTAAATAGCACAGGAAACCCAATTGGCACAATTGAACATGAGGAACTATAATCGCACAATCATGATACCTAGACAATTACAAATGGTTATTATTTATTGCTTCGTTCCCCTTGCTGCTATAATATTTTAGCTTGGTCTTCTTTCTCTATGGGCAATTGCAAGTGCAGGTAATTTCTATTAAAATATAGATATTCTTGTACATTTTGAGAGTTTTTCCTGTATAATCAACAGTTGCATTGCTTATTTAAATTATTTTATTGATAGACATACTTATCTGTTATCCACTAATCAGCTATGCATCACCAATCTTACTGTGTTGAACCATGTTTTCTTTTAATTCTTGTAGTTTACTTCGTTACATGTTTAAAATTTAGATTGGTCTACCTTAAATAATCAGAGCTGTAGAAATGGGCCTTTTTTTACAACTTAAGCATGAATACACAGTTTTTTAGATTTTTTTTTCCTGATGACATCTAAGATCTAGTTGCATGTTTTTTATGACCTCTATCTTGTTGAGGAACCCAATATACTTTGCGTATAAAATGCAATTTTATGTTTGCACACATGCTTGAATAACCGGGATTTGGAAATGCTTTTAGAGTTGAGAAAAGATACATTGTTCCACACCATCTCTTCATGTGGTTTTTATTTTTCTTACATAATATAAATTTCACCTAAAGAGGCATTGACTAGCTTTTCTATGACATAGGCCAAGTAATTCTGTCTGGTGAAAACTAGGTAGTCTTGTACTGCACTGTCCTTGTTGTTTCTTGGGATTAGAGTTTGGAGACTACTTGGTAGAAATATATAGAGACAAAAGGATGAAATTTTGGATTGATCACTCAAATAAGTATTGGCATCATAACAAAATCATAGTACTACTTCCTTGTTTTCCATATTATCCCTTTTTTTCATTTTATTGTTTTCTCTTAATAATGATGTTTTTACTTTTCTTGTTAATGAATATATTGATCATTATAGGAAATGGCGAACGGTCCATGCCAGAAGGAGATGGTACTAGAGAGAACAATTCTGCTGATGGTAACAAATCAGATAGCAACCCTGAGAAATGTCATCATACTAGTGTGGATTGGCGTGAGTTCAGGGCAAAGCTATATAGAGATGAGCTGGTGATGCATTCGTTCCTAAATGGGATCTATATCTAGCTCTTGCATGCCATTTTTAAGTGGAAGGGGTCAATTTTATGAATCTTTTTATTTTTTTATAAGCACCAATTTCATGAATCTTGAAATAGTGTTGTTTCAAAACATCTATTAGAGTTATACCTGTGCTTTTTTTCAGTCATAGAACCATGTTTGATAGTTTCAAAATCATCTCCTCTTGATGGATTTGTCATCCATCTAGGACACTTGGTTAAGTCAGACAACTTTCCTACACCTGTTCTGTTAACTAATGATTTATATTGGTAACCAGGTTTTAAGCCCTACAGACTTGATTAATACCCTTTTATGAGTATTCTTTTTTACTTTTTGCAATACTTCTAGTTATTGATGTGGACGCAATCATTTATGATGGAGCATATCTAAGCAATACACTGGTTGAGTTAGACATTATATTTAATTAACTGGTTTTCTTTACTTCATTATAGCAGAAAGAAATATCAGATACGGACATGCATAATCATAGTGGAGCATTGCCCAATTCCAATCCTCTTGGAACACAGTGGGCTCATCCTATTCCAGTGCCTGAGACTGGTTGCGTACTTGTGGCTACGGAAAAGCTTGATGGTGTTCGCACTTTTGAAAGAACTGTTATTCTCCTTCTCAGATCCGGAACTAGACATCATCAAGGAGGACCTTTTGGAATTGTCATCAACCGTCCTCTTCACAAAAAAATCAAACACATGAAACCTACAAATCATGATCTATTAACTACGTTCTCTGATTGTTCTCTGCATTTTGGTGGACCTCTTGAGGCAAGCATGGTTTTATTGAAAACAGAGGAAAAGATGAAGCTTCCTGGATTTGAAGAGGTAATCCCTGGGCTATGTTTTGGATCTCGAAACAGTTTGGATGATGCTGCAGGGCTTGTGAAGAAGGGGATTCTCAAGCCTCGTGACTTCAGATTTTTTGTTGGTTATGCTGGATGGCAACTGGATCAGCTGAGAGATGAAATTGAGTCAGATTATTGGTATGTGGCTGCATGTAGCTCAAGTTTGCTCTGTGGGGCACTATCAGATTCATCAGAAAATTTGTGGGAGGAGATTTTGCAGTTAATGGGTGGGCATTACTCAGAATTGAGCCGGAAGCCAAAGCAAGACATGTAGGTAGTGAGCATGGTTTCAGATTTAGAATGAAGAACATGTAATCAGGATTATTTATCCTCCTTTCAAATAAGTAGTCTGTTTATCCTCCTTTCAAATAATTAGTTCGTTTATCCTCCTTTCCTACTCTATTATTATAAGAGGAATTGTACCTTTCTGGGTCCTGTAATTATGCTTCGTAGTATAGTTTGATGTAAGTATGAGAATAATTTGTGTTAGCTACATTTTATGATATACTTTCGAATTTCATCTATAGCAGCTCCAACACCATTCACTTGCTATTTCCATAGCCTATAAACAGACGTGATCATGGAATCCGACCCAACTACAACCAGAAAAAACCGAACTGAAAAAATTGACCGGATCACGGGTCGAATCAAATTAGTTTAAAAAGTCGAGGTTAATCGGTTTTTATGGACAGTTTCGGATTCAATTTAATTTTTAAGTATTTTATTTTAATAACATTGGCCTAAGGTCCCTGTTATTTATGATTTTCATGCTTTATTTGGGGATCTTTGTAAGTGCTGCTTCCCCTCCCCCAGGAAATTCATGGAGTCTAGCTCAATACTGTACTTCCTTCCACATAACATAGTTCAATTCTGGAAATAGCTTTATCATTAGGATTTGACAATTCATTTTACACTTCCCATTTTTTCATATTTTTTTTTCTGAAATCTCTTCCAATCTTTAGAAAAGAAAGGAAAATATGATTTTAATTTGACGAGATTCAACAAGATCATCAAGTTCACTGGAACTTGCTTTTTTGCATGCGAGAGAGAACTATCTTGAATTAATGAAAATGAGGAATAGTCATTGGTCATTCCTTTGTTTAATTTATGACTTTAGTTTAAAATTATCAAGTTAATATTGATAAGTCTATGTAAAAGCATTAGAAAAATTGGTTTTACCTCTAATAAATTTGACTAAAAGGTTAAGATTGTATTTCCAAAGTTATTCTATAGTAGTTATAAGAGATTAACCTATGTCTTGCAAAAGTTTGAGTTAGCTTGAAGAATGATAGCATGGACATTAATCTATGTATTTCAAAAACTTGAGTTAGCTAAAAGAAAGATAGCATAAACACTTGATTTATTTGAATTTGATATATCATATAAAAGTCGAGATCCAATGAAAACTTCATTCTTAATTAACTTTCTTTTAAAACTCTCACCTCAAAAAGAAAAGCATGAATGGTAGATTTTATCAGTAGATGACACTTCAAGGGTAGGGGAGTTGAATTTATTTTGGAATGTCTTAACGATATTATGTTTGAACTAGCTCTCACGTTTGAATTTCAAACATCCAATAAAGCCTAATATAAAGCAATGATAACTGGCCTAAAACTGACAAAAGAAATGAGACTAAAACAACTCCATTGTAGAAGTGATTTGAAACTCATAATGGGACAAATTAGTGGAGAATTTTAGACCAATGAATCCTTCATATAAAAATAGTACCATATGACCAAAAACTTGATAAATATTTTTTATCAGTTAATAAACATAATGACCGAACTGATATTCTCTCAAAGTTTACGTAGTACGAATAAATTTGGTTAGCATAAGATGTTACATAGTACCTTGGTAAACCAACATGCTATATTCTCTCAAAACAAGAAACACTGAGAACACCAAGTTGAGGTCATGATGATGTTTTCCATACAAACCTTGGTAAACCAACATGGATGACTCCCATAATACACTACTTGAAAATGAAATACCTCCAAACAGTTTGGATGAAGCTTGAAAATGAAGAGAACAATGACATTCTTTGTCTTACATAATGAAGAACTATTTAAAAGGGGATTCTCAAGTCCTCTGCTAAAATTCATAGATGAGGATCAAGTCAAGTATGTAATCAACGAGTAGCATAATGGAATTTGTGGAGTCTATTCAAAAGGTAGAAACATGGTTGCTTAGGTACTGTGAGTAGGTTATTATTGGTCGAATTGAAAAAAGACACAAAGGAGTTTGTAAAAAAATGTCAAGCATGTTAAAAATCGACCCAATATTTAAGGCAACTAGGCCATTTACTAAATAGGGCATTGATATACTTGATTTGTTCCCTATAACAAAAGAACAAGTAAAATTTCTTATATTTACAATAATTATTTCACTAAGTGGATCGGAGTAAGCCTTTAACTACCATCACAGAGTACGAAAATTCATATAGAAAAATATAATATGTAGACTTTGAATTTCACATACTATTATACTAGACAATGGAAAATAATTTACTAACAAAAGTTAGGAACAATTCTTAGAAGGGTTTACAATAAAACACCTAGTAACATATGTAGAACACCCTCAAACAAATGAATAAGTAGAAGTTGCAAATAAATTCATATTAAAAAGCTCAAATGAAAGTTCAAACAAGATAAAAAATGTTGGCCCGAGGAGATTTCAAGTATTATGGGAATATTATTGTACTCCTTAATCTTTAACGCAAGAAACTCCTTTTCGCCTAACTTATAGTATTGATATCATGATACCAGTAAAAATACACCAAGAATCTTGGAGAAAGAAATTTTTTTATGAAGAATGTAATGATGACAATCTCAAAACCGAGTTGGATCTAGTAATTGAAGTTTGCAATTATGTTCATATCAAAGAAGAAGTCATTAAAAGACAAGATGAAAAAAGATATAACACAAAAGTACAAGAAAGAAGTTTTCAAAAAGGAGACCTAGTACAAATAAAAGTGAGAGAAGCTCATAGAGACCGAGCAAACAGAAAGTTAATATCAAATTGAGATGATCCATACTGAATAATGGATTCATTTTAAAATGGAGCATACAAATTACAAGAATTATCTGACAAAATGATACCACAAATATGAAATGGAACTCATCTAAAGACATACTACAACTAAGGTAAGCAACAAGTATCTCAAACTTGAACCAAGGGTGTAAGCGCCACAACTTACCAAATCATTTACTTCACATTCCATCACTTAGCTCCAAGCTAACATGAAAAGGCGTAGCTGCCATAACTTACAAAAATATGAAATATTTCGACCTACTCGCCTAACTTGAGACTGGAGTGAAAGAATGTAGCCATCATAACATGTTAGATGTAGCTATCATAACATGTCCTTATAAACGTACCTATCAAAACACATTATAAAGCCTCTGTATCATTATAAAAAGAGTCAAACTAACTTTATTTGATCCAAGTTATACATTAATGCAAAGGTAGTTTATCTAAGATATATATATTCATTTGAATTACATGTTCATATTAGATAAGGTTAAATCTTAATCGAGATGTATTTATGCACAAGTTAAAACTTAAATTACAATTACTGAAAAACACGAGTTATGTTGCACTAAATATGAAAAAATTGTTCAAAAATACAAAATACATTAAACAAAAGGGTCAATCATTCACTAACTACCCATTAACAACTAATTTTTCCATATTAAACAACTCGATATTAATATCCAAACTAATCACAATAGCTTGTTCCATGGCTTTGTTGAAGTAATCTTCAAACACTTTAACAAGTTACTCCTCGATCAATTGAAGTTTGGCTGCTTGGTCATTTGCTTGTCAAATGTTGCTTGTAGCTTAACAAGCTTAGCTTCGGTACCTAACCTTTTCTTTGACATCCTTAGCTCTGACCTCAGCCTCCTCAACTAGTTCAGTTCTCACAATTGATAAATTGTTTTGAGTTTGAAACTCGTTCACTTGAAGCACAAGAGTCTGATTCTCTTTAACATTGTCAGAAAGGGTCACCTCATTATCAAATAATGTAGTTTAAAGTTGATTCCTTTGTTTCTTCATAGAAAATAAGTCTCTTGTCCTTTGAGCTTCCCCCTATGCTTCCCCCTATGCAACCCACCCGAACCCGAAAACATATAAATTTTGGGAACAAATAGAAGAGCACCCAGAGTCGACTTTTTTTCATAAATAATACTCTTTTTAAATATATTTTCCAAAATAGCACATCTGGAACATTATTTACACAATTAGCACTCTTTACTGTTCACGTATTAAAATAATCGATTATTTTATATTATGATCGAGTATTTCGCGCAATCAATTCTCGCTCAAGCAAAGAAACCCTTCGCTTGAGCGAGAAAATATGTAACAAAGGGGTAATCTCGGGTGAAGTCTCGCTCAAGCGAAGAAACCCTTCGCTTGAGCGAGGAAATCTGTAACAAAGGGGTAATCTCCGGTCAATTATCGCTCAAGCGACGGATATTTTCGCTTGAGCGAGAAGTGATTAAAATATGTGGTGACCCAAGTTGCGTGTTGTGGCTAACTGCGATGGACGTTTAGCCCTTGGTCAATTCTCGCTCAAGCGATGAATTACTTCACTCGAGCGAGAATTGATTGAGTAACTGCGTTGGACCGTGGTGATTATCGCTCAAGCGAGACATACATCGCTTGAGCGAAGGAATTTATAATCGATTATGATTTGAACTAATCGATCATAATTTTAAAATAATCGAATATACAATCGATTATTTCTCTCTCGCTCGAGCGAAGGAACTCCGCTTAAGCGGAAAACACATTAGATAGGGGTTCTAGACCTAACCGCTATTAAAAGTACATTTTAGATAGTGGTTAGCGTGGAATCGCTATTATATGTTTACTTTTAAGAGCGGTTAAAGTGAAACCGCTATCATATATGTATCACTTGTCGCTTGAGCGAGACAGAACCCAAGAATCCCCCATTTTTCCATGTGTCCTCGTTCAAGCGATGTGTTTTTCGCTTGAGTGACCTTAGATAGCGGTTAATAAGATTCGCTTTTAAAAATATATTAGATAGTGGTTAGGCTTTAACCGCTGTTGGACCTTAGATAGCAGTTAAACACCACAATCCCATACTTCCAATGATGGTGTGGGACTAAGACCCCCTAACTTGTAATTGGATTGTAGCATTATATATAAGCAAGAAAATAAAAGACAAATCGTACTTGAGAAGCAGTTTCGGAGACATTATGTAAGGGTAATTTTGTTGGAGGTCCATCAAACAGACGAGAACATTCTGTATATGCAGATCCGATTCCAACTCCAGCACCAAAAGCAATAGATGTCCACCGAGTTACAGGACTCCCTAGTACAAGAATCAGAAGCCAAGAAACTCAACATTAACAATTTGGGAAAGTCTCAACCATATATGTTACAAAATGATTCTATTATATAATAAAAGACATTACAAACACCAATCTAAACCACCAACATAGAAATAACTTAACCTTACTTTTTATAATGTAAGAAAATAAAACCAGCAACTTAAATTGATTATAAATACCAAATTTTCTAATTAAGATGAGACTATTAATGACAACATTAATCATGACACACAACCAAAAAATTGGCTTACATGTCATAAATTGTATGCACAACAAACTTTGTACAAAAATAGGCGATCATTCTTTTTTCAAACTGACATTGGCCTTCAATGCAACCATAACAGCCTCAGAGGCAGTGGATGCAAATTTCGTAAAACAGATAGAACATTCAAAAATTATTTTCAATATGCACACCAAAAGATATACTAAAAAAGAAATCATGAGATTGCAGATGAATTAGTTGATTAGTTTGAATCAAAATCTGCATGAGCAAAGACATGGTAAAGAACTAAAGTTATCAAACAACATTATTGTTGTGCTAAAATTAAAACAAAAATGAGGCTTAACTATGTTCTACATTCCTGCAAATACAACATCTTGCTTTTAGCCTTTGCAAAAAATTGGTTTTTGATCCTTTTAATGTTCATCACTTGTTTTAGTCCTTTCCATCACTATAGAGACTAAAAACAAAAACCAGTATAGTTTGCAGGGACGTAATGGCATGGACTAAAGCAAAAGGCATTATATTTACATGGACTAATGATAAGTCCCTGAGTTCCCTTGAGGAGGGAAAGGTCATCCCTAAAAGGATCACCATAAGCATGTCTAGAAGGGAATCCTCCTCCCCACCCTTATCCCTTAATTTATTTTGTATTTTTCCTTCTCTTTAATTTCCTAGACTCGTATTTAAATCTTGTTTTTGTATGATTACTAAAGGATACCTATCTTTTGAAGTCCACCACTTTTTTTGGAGGAAATAAGCTTTGGACCCAAGCCTTTAAAGCATGGATAGCCCATGAGGGAAGAGAAGGTCAACCTTTGACCTCCTAGAAGAGAAAGGTCACGATTTTGGTGAGAAAACAAGGGGAGCCACCCCTTTTAGATTAAATTAGGATAACATGTGCTTCTAGAATCCCTAATGTAATTCCCTCTAGGTCTCCCTCACCCATGCCTATATAGAGAAGGCTCCCCACCTCTTGTAAATGATTAGAAATTGAATGAAAAATTGAGAGTTTTTCTCTTTGAGTGTTCTTTTTCTCTTAGTCTTATCTTGAAACATGGTTCAAGTGACGACAACCACCACCCATCTTGGGTTGGTCCATCCCCCAAGTGTGTGTCACCCCTTCATCCTTACTGCCACTTCTTCTCTTCTCCATTTTTATTTCCTTTTCTTCTCTTATTTTACTGCATTGGTTTGGCTTCATTTTCAGCCTTGTTATTTGTTGTTTCCTGCTTTGTTTCCTCTCCTCTCCTCTCTTGAATCCTTGGAAATACACCTTCACACCTAGATAAGTGATTATCTTAGTGTCCAGTGGGAATCTTTCTTGGGTTTTCTCATCTTAATTGTATCAAACACCTATATGCTTAACTTAAAAACTGCACTCATATCAACAAAGAACAAAAATGTTATATTTTGCAAGAACATACAAACAAAAATTGCTATATTTGTAGGGGCATAAAACCTATTGCTATGGCAAGTTCATGGCAGGAACCAAAACAAGTGGCAAAAGACATTACAAGCAGTGGCAGATCTTCTTGGGAGCTGAGGGGGGTCGTTCGCCCCTCAAAGTTTTCTAACTCCCATGTAATTTATGATTTTGGCCCCCCAAACATAATGAACATTTAATATATTTACTTGTATATTTACAATTTTTCCCTCTCAGTTTTGTAACTCATATAATTTATGATTTTGTTCCCCTCAAACTTAATGATAATTTAATATATTTAAGTATATATCTACAATTTTATCTTTTCACTCTTTCATCTTTTTTCTTTCTTTTATATTATTGGCCCCTCCAAGATCAATGGTCAAAATCCGCCACTGATTACAAGGACAAAAACACGGTTTAAGGACTTTAAAAATCACTATAATTGTAGGAACCTTGATCATATTTAAGCCAAAAAATATGTTATTTCGTAGAAGCTCCAATAGTTATGCTAGTTGATAGAGTTGGATAGACTAAGTACACAAAACATTGATGTTGAGTGGTTTGTTCTTTAATGTTTGCAACTAATCAAGTAAAGTATTGCTTTAATAAAGAAAATATAGGTTTAGGGTCAAGGAAGAGGGAAACAAGGGAAAGACATTTAACAATAATATGATGAGCCTATTTGCTAACATAATACACCTATTTATACTAATAACTAGATCAAGTACAAGTATCACTAGTACAATCTACGGTACACTAAGAAAGAAATCAAGTAATCATATAAAATAAGGAAAATAATAAAGTTAAAAAGAGTTATTTGATTTGGAAAAGCATTTTATGTTTTCACTTTGTTTCTTATTTTCAAAAGTGACTATGGGAAATAGGGGAAACAAACTTTTTGTTGTGTTCTATTTTCATATTCACTTTCTCATATATGTAACTATTGAAAAATTGAAACCAAATAAACACATAAACATTCTCAAAACCAAACAATGTCCCAAAAAAAATCAGTAAACAACTCTATAATTGCTTGCTCAATTAGCTCACAATTCGTACTCAAAAGATATTCCAAGACAATCTAACGACAAAGTAAATATTATCTAACACTCTCCTACAAACCAAGGCCGACAATGACAAATAAGTGAAATAACACAATCCATCTTCACCAAAAACACTAACCGAACAGCCAGTATAAAGTGAGAAGAACAGAAAAGACAAAAAAATCCAATGTCCAAGAACAAAAGAAAATCCTATAATGACTCCGGCTTTCAAACTTTCAACACCCTTCACCCCTGATTGTTCCTTCCTGGAGAGCTACTAAGACACTGCTACTCATAAGGCCTGTTACACCCTGCTCATTCCTTTCAAGTAGGCTGCAGCACTGTTGTTGCCAAAAACACTGTTTGCAACAGAAGCCTCCAAAATAATCATAATTTTAGAGATACTGGAATGTCCTCTGTAAAACCCAGAACTTACTGATTTTCACACAAAAGTAGACTCAGCTAAGAACCAAAACAAAACACGTCAAAGCATCAATCATCTTGCCAGAATGTTGTCTGGTCAAGCCAGAGGTCATTGCCCATGGACATTACCAAGGTGGTTTAAATATTTATTTTTGTATTAGGCACATTCTTATGAGTTTCCGCGTGGAATCAGAGCATATTTGTTTTTCTAAAATTTATTTGACCCCTAACATATTTGAAAGTGTTTGTCCTCTAAGCATATTTTAATTTTCTAAATTTTGTCACTTAAGTACTTGAATAGAGTACTTTAAGCAAAAAGAACACGTGAAAACATCTCTCGCCTATTTTTCTGGTTCTCAAAGCACTTGTTGTGGAAACAATTTCAAAAATAAAATAGATTTCATATTAAAAATTGATTGCTAAAGAGAATGAAAATGTTTTAAAAACAATTGTAAAAAAAAAGGTTAGAACATAATGTGGCACAGATATCAAACTTGGGTTGTGAATGAAATCTCACTAGAAATCAATCACACACAAAAAGTGGTCACATATAGCATTCTTCCCTACTCCTAATTATGTGTCTTTTGATGGAAATCTATTGCGATCATGGATAGACGAATTGGGATGAATTTGGGAGACTCGTTTTCGTTTAGGGTTAATACAACAGGAAAAATAAAGTATATAATATGAATAATTGCTCTGCGAGACAAAATATGAAGGCGAGAAAAATGTGGTGCTTTCATCCGTCGGAAACATGAAAAGGACGTAGGATTTTCTTCGAGAGATTAAAACCACGACATGAGCATCTTCGCAAATAAATGAATCAAAGAAACAAGGTACTGACCGAAAAATAGAAGATCGGCAAATGCACCAGCAGATGAGGAGTAGACGAAGCGACGGACAGTGAGATCAAGGCAAGCGTCCCATTTGGCATCGAGGTCATGCTTTGGGGGAATGATTTGCTTGTCAGCCATTGTAGTTGTAGGGCGAGAACCACCTCTGATTTTTTCTTTTCTTTTTTCTTTTTTTATCAAACAACTTGGTTACGGTCCGGTGATACTTTTTTAGTCGACTCTGGGTGTTCTTCTATTTGTTCCCAAAATTTATATGTTTTTGGGTTCGGGTGGGTTGCATTTCTATTTTCGATTCCTAATTTGGGCATTTTTGGTCAACAGGGCTTGCCCTTTATTGTTTAGGCTTATGCTATTTACATCGTCCAATTTACTAACAACATTGTCTTCAATTTCCTTTCGGAGTATAAATTTATCTGACAACTTTTTTTTTCAAATGATTTTTTATTGGTCTAGTCAATAAGGTAGTAAGTCAAACCGTGAATTTTTTTCATAAATAATATTATTTTAAAAAATATTTTCTAAAATAGCATATCTGGAACATTATTTACGCAACTAGCACTCTTTACTGTTTTGCACTCTTTACTGTTCATTGTATTCTTGTTCAAGTGAGAAATTCATCGCTTGAGCGAGGAGACCTGGAACATAAGGGTTTTGTGGGGTTTAAGTTCGCTTAAGCGATATAATTCTCACTCGAGCAAGAAGTTTTCTTGCTCGAGCGAGAAACCCTTCGCTTGAGCGATGAGACCTGAAACTAATGAGTAATCTCGGGTGTTTTTTTGCTCAAACGATGGATAATTTCGTTCGAGCGTCCAACGCAGTTAGCCACATAATGCAACTTGGGTCACCACATATTAGAATCACTTGTCGCTCAAGCGTTCATAACGTCTCTTGAGTGAGACAGAACCCGAGAATCCCCCATTTTTCCAGGTGTCCTCGCTCAAGCGATGTGTTTTTCGCTTGAGTGACCTTAGATAGCGGTTAATAAGAACCGCTTTTAAAAATATATTAGATAGCGGTTAGGCTTTAACCGCTGTCGGACGTATGTTTATAATATCGGTTTTTTTATAACCGCTCTTTTATATCATACATTTAAAGAACGGTTGACTCGTGGAACGCTATAATAAATGTAGTTTAGATAGCGGTTGGTCAAATAACCGCTATCTAAAGTCATATATGTCAAAGTGATCGACTATAATTGGATAATAATCGATCATAATTTTCGATAACCGATTATAATTGAGAATGATCGATTATAGTTGGAGAACATCGATCATAGTTTGTGATAAGCGATTATAGTTTTACATAATTTTGCTCTACATCTCTTTCGCCGGCGCACGCAAAAGAAACGTTTGTTCTCTCCCGGCTCTGGTTTGTCTATGTTTAATATTGGGTTCTGTTCATTTGGTTTAGGGTTTAATATGGTTGTTGATTTCGGTTTTGAATTTTAATTTGATGGTTCATCTTGTTTGATTTCGTTTGCATTGTAAAGAAAAAGCATACAGCAACCATGGAGGTTAATGTATTCTTTGCTTTCTAATTACTCGCAGATTCTCTGTTCTCTGTTTTCGTTCACTGTTGACTATTCTCAATAGTCGTAAACATAAACCATGGATGGCAAAAGAAAAAGCTCCAAGCGCACCCACTCAGAAGCGGCTTCTTCAAGTACCCAAACTGTGACCACAAAGGAGGTGATAGCCCTAAAGGTCCTTGGCACCCAATACTTTGTTAATAACGGATTTGACTTCATTAGAGATGGGCAAGTTCACACCCGCGTGAGGAAGGTCGAGGTCGAGGTCGACGAAGGAATGAGAAAGTTTTGTGCTAGGAAAATGAGAATCGGAGAAGGAGGAGAGATGGGCAAGGGAATGAATTATTTAATAATAAAAACACTGTGCATTTAATATTTTTTTATTATATATGTGTCACTTTTTAAGAGTGGTTAACATTTTAACCGCTCTTAAAAGTGAACATATAATAGCGGTTCCACATTAACCTCTATCTAAAATATACTTTTAATAGCAGTTAGTTCTAGAACTGCTATCTAAAATCTCGGGGTCAATTCTCGCTCAAGCGACGGGTACTTTCGCTTGAGCGAGAAGTGATTGAAATATGTGGTGACCCAAGTTGCATTATGTGGCTAAACGTCCAACGCAATTAGCCACATAACGCAACTTGGGTCACCACATATTTTAATCACTTCTCGCTCAAGCGAAAATACCCTTCACTTGAGCGAGAATTGACCGGAGATTACCCCTTTGTTACAGATTTCCTCGCTCAAGCGAAGGGTTTCTTCCCTTCGCTTGAGCGAGAATTGATTGCGCGAAATAATCGATCATAATATAAAATAATCGATTATTTTAATACGTGAACGATGAAATGATGCTAGTTGTGTAAATAATGTTCCGAGATGTACTATTTTGGAAAATATTTTTAAAAGAGTATTATTTATGAAGAAAATTCTTCTAATTTTACTTATTGATTTTAAGTAAGAACTTAATAATAAATTAAATTGATTTTAATCCAAATTAACTATATATTAAAATTAGATTGAGCGAGTTAATATTCATAATTTCTAATTTTTTTCAACAACAATGAAGTTGTTGATCTCAACTCCGAATCTAGTTGGGCAGCAAAAATGGAGGATTGCTACATTTTCGTGAGGTTCTTTCTCTAATTTCCTGTGGATCAACTTCTTCAACCTTTATAGAGAAATTCCTCTCTTGAATGTAACTCCCTCCATGGGACATGGGTTCATGGAACCATCATAGTGAACGATAGTAGACACTACACCCATTTTAGGAGTGTGAAACAAAAAGAAGACTAAAGGTAAGAAGAAGAAAGAATGCAAAGAGCTTCAGAGATTTAGGAGTGTGCAATGTGAGAACTCCAAAGAATGAAAGTAGTCTATTTATAATAAAGTATAATGGTTTGAATCCAAGGCTCCATCACATGGCTTCTGACGCACACAAAACCCAAGCAAAGTGGGTGGGTCAGCATCTTTTTAAATGTGTTTGGATTCTTCTGCTTTTGTTTAACCCAATGTAGGGAATCCAAGATTGGAATCCTGACTTGGGTGAGCGACTCAGTATTGGATTCCTGGCTTGTGTGCATCAGAAAGACATGAGAATCCTGACTTGGGTGAATGACTTAGCATTGAATTTCTGACTTGTGTGCGTTAGAAATTATATTGGGAGGTGTTACTTTGGGAAATATTTTTTTAAATTATTAATTATGTAAAAAATAGTTGTAGGTTTCCTCGCTCAAGTGATGGATTTCTCGCTTGAGCGAGGGTTGACCACAGACTAAAACTCCAACGCAGTTAGCCACATAATGAAACTTGAGTCACCATATATTTCAATCACTTCTTGTTCGAGCGAAATTACTCATCGCTTGAGTGAGAATTAACCCGAGATTACCCATTAGTTTTAGGTCTCCTTGCTCAACCGATGAATTTCTCACTTGAGCGAGAATTCACCACAGGCGTTAACTTAGCCAATCACTTGTCGCTCGAGCGAAATTATTCATCACTTGAGCGAGAATTGACCGCATGCTAAAGGTCCAACGCAGTTAGCCACATAATGCAACTTGAGTCACCACATATTTCAATCAGTTCTCGCTCAAACAAAATTACCCATCGTTTGAGCAAAAAAACACCCGAGATTACTCATTAGTTTCAGGTCTCATCGCTCAAGCGAAGGGTTTCTCGCTCGAGCAAGAGAACTTCTTGCTCGAGCGAGAATTATATCGCTTGAGCGAACTTAAACCCCACAAAACCCTTAAGTTCCAGGTCTCCTCGCTCAAGCGATGAATTTCTCACTTGAGCAAGAATACAATGAACAGTAAAGAGCGCTAGTTGCGTAAATAATGTTCCAGATATGCTATTTTGGAAAATATTTTTTAAAATAGTATTATTTATGAAAAAAATTCACGGTTTGACTTACTACCTTATTGACTAGACCAATAAAAAATCATTTGAAAAAAAAAGTTGTCAGATAAATTTATACTCTGAAAGGAAATTGAAGACAATGTTGTTAGTAAATTGGACGGTGTAAATAGCATAAGCCTAAACGATAAAGGGCAAGCCCTGTTCACCAAAAATGCCCAAATTAGGAATCGAAAATAGAAATGCAACCCACCCGAACCCAAAAACATATAAATTTTGGGAACAAATAGAAGAGCACCCGAGTCGGCTAAAAAAGTATCACCAAACCGGAACCGAAGTTGTTTGATAAAAAAAAAAAAAAAAAAAAACATAGGTGGTTCTCGCCCTACAACTACAATGGCTGACAAGCAAATCATTCCCCCAAAGCACGACCTCGATGCCAAATGGGACGCCTGCCTTGATCTCACTGTCCGTCGCTTCGTCTACTCCCCATATGCTGGTGCATTTGTCGGTCTTCTATTTTTCAGTCAGTACCTTGTTTCTTTGATTCATTTATTTGCGAAGATGCTCATGTCATAGTTTTAATCTCTAAAGAAAATCCTACGTCCTTTTCATGTTTCGACGAGATGAAAGCACCACATTTTTCCGCCTTCATATTACGTACGTGCAGCAATTATTCATATTATATACTTTATTTTTCCTATTGTATTAACCCTAAACGAAAACGAGTCTCCCAAATTCATCCAAATTCGTCTATCCATGATCGCAATAGATTCCCATCAAAAGACACATAATTAGGAGTAGGGAAGAATGCTAGATGTGACCACTTTTTGTGTGTGATTGATTTCTAGTAAGATTTCATTCACAACCCAAGTTTGATATCTGTGCCACATTATATTCTAACCTTTTTGTTTTACAATTGTTTTTAAAACATTTTCATTCTCTTCAACAATCAATTTCTAATACGAAATCTATTTCATTTTTGAAATTGTTTCCACAACAAGTGCTTTGAGAACCAGAAAAATAGGCGAGAGATGTTTTCACGTGTTCTTTTTTCTTCAAGTATTCTATTCAAGTACTTAAGTGACAAAATTTAGAAAATTAAAATATGCTTAGAGGACAAACACTTTCAAATATGTTAGGGGTCAAATAAATTTTAGAAAAACAAATATGCTCTGATTCCACGCGGAAACTCATAAGAATGTGCCTAATACAAAAATAAATATTTAAACCACCTTGGTAATGTCCATGGGCAATGACCTCCGGCTTGACCAGACGACATTCCGGCAAGATGATTGATGCTTTGACGTGTTTTGTTCCGGTTCTTAGCCGAGTCTACTTTTGTGTGAAAATCGAGTAAGTTCCGGGTTTTACAGAGGACATTCTAGTATCTCTAAAATTATGATTATTTTGGAGGCTTCTGTTGCAGACAGTGTTTCTGGCAACAGAAGTGCTGCAGCCTACTTGAAAGGAATGAGCAGGGTGTAACAGGCCTTATGAGTAGCAGTGTCTTAGTAGCTCTCCAGGAAGGAACAATCAGGGGTGAAGGGTGTTGAAAGTTTGAAAGTCGAAGTCATAATAGGATTTTCTTTTGTTCTTGGACATTGGATTTTTTTGTCTTTTCTGTTCTTCTCACTTTATATTGGCTGTTCGGTTGAGTGTTTTTGGTAAAGATGGATTGTGTTATTTCACTTATTTGTCATTGTCGGCCTTGGTTTGTAGGAGAGTGTTAGATAATATTTACTTTGTCGTTAGATTGTCTTGGAATATCTTTTGAGTACGAATTGTGAGCTAATTGAGCAAGCAATTATAGAGTTGTCTACTTATTTTTTTTTGGCATTGTTTGGTTTTGAGAATGTTTATGTGTTTATTTGGTTTCAATTTTTCAATAGTTACATATATGAGAAAGTGAATATGAAAATAGAACACAACAAAAAGTTTGTTTCCCCTATTTCCCATAGTCACTTTTGAAAATAAGAAACAAAGTGAAAACATAAAATGCTTTTCCAAATCAAATAGCTCTTTTTAACTTTATTATTTTCCTTATTTTATATGATTACTTGGTTTCTTTCTTAGTGTACCTTAGATTGTACTAGTGATACTTGTACTTGATCTAGTTATTAGTATAAATAGGTGTATTATGTTAGCAAATAGGCTCATCATATTATTGTTAAATGTCTTTCCCTTGTTTCCCTCTTCCTTGACCCTAAACCTATATTTTCTTTATTAAAGCAATAATTTACAACATATTCAAATGAATAGTCATCCTACTACAAGTCAACATGACACTGACAATATACCAGAGGACTAATTTTCAATTTTATGATATTAAGATTTTGAATCTTGAGTAGTTGTTTAGAAACATTTTATTTCTGTTATGACTTTGAATTGTTCTTATTATGATTTGAATAATTTGACTTTAGTTCTTAAGTTTTCATTTGTGTTCTGTTTGGATGAATTAAGCAGCTACAAATTTTGTAAAATTGGATATACAAAATTTTAAACGAAAATTTTCAGATTTGGTTAGATTAGCGATCGAATTTTTGGTCGCTACAAATTTATTATAATATACAATTCAATTTTAGCAACCGATTTAAATTATTATTTAAATAATTCAATTAATGTATTAGCGACCAATTATATTCGACGCTATTATTTTTAACTTTGTCTCCAATTTAACGATCGATTTACTATATTAATTTCGTCGCTATTTTTGCGACTCGATTTAGCGATCGATTTTAATTATTATTTACATAATTATATTAATATATTAGCGACCGAATATATCTAGTCGTTATTTTGGTCTTCAATGAATAAGTAACCAAATTATTTAGCGACCACCTTATTGGTCGCTATTTAGCAACCGAAATGTAAATCGGCCGCTAACAAATTAGCGACTTGCCCTTTGGCGACCAACGATTTCGGTCGCTAATTTCGGTCGCTAACAAAATAGCGACCGATTTTTAGCCATTAGCGACCGATTTTTTCGGTTGCTAATAGCGTTTTTTGTTGTAGTGAAACCCGGAAAACAGACCATAAATCCATCATCAAAAAATAATTGGGATGCGATCCAGAATAAGAATAAACTAGAAATATTTCAATTTTACAACTGAACTTATATTTGAATTGTATAATCCGTCATTAAATTTATTAATATATTACATCAAAATATCAAGATATCATGCTCAAACATTATAGACGAGATAGAATCATCGTCTGAAATGTTCGAGTTCAATCTTAAATCCAATTTGAAAACAATGGCAAGCAAAGTATGCTAACTAGACCGGGTTAAAAGTAAAGCTAATAGAAAATTAAATCTGAAGAACACTTCCTTTGCCTTTTCATTCCTTCTCCACATCAACAGTGTTCAGATTACAAGGGAACAAATGTTTGTAAAAGGTAGGGAATAAAATATAGTTGATGTTTGTTCATTTATGAAATCATAGTAGTGCGACAATTGGAAGAGCAATAATGCTATAAGGAACCATGAACGACAAGAAAATTTAGATTCACCTGCAATTTGTAGCGTCTACTCAAAGCCATGCACATTCTGAAACAAAAGCGTAAAGTACGTTAATTATGTTCTAATATACTAAATAGTTCTTTAAATGCCAGTTCAGATCGGTGCCTGGTTAGAACCGAAATAAAAAAAGTTTTGGGAATATACGAGTATAATGGCACTAGTGAACCCGGAGCATTGTTATTGAACTGGGCAAACATCATTAAAATAGCCTTCAAACAACCGGAAAAAGACAGAATCACGGTATATTTACTAAACCGGAACACAAGCACAAACTTATGACTAAGTACAACTATTACCCGATCTTTAAAAAAAAAAAAACTCAAACAGCGGTCACAATTTGAACAGCCACTGACACTTATTACCCCAACCTTATGGATGGGTCACTCCGATTACATTTAAGAACACATTCAACTATTTTATCTTATTGGTCGGAAATCAACACAATTCATGTTCCTATCAATTCACGAAAGATAATTTATTTCTTCTTCCTTTAAACGGAAAATAAATTCTTACATACTCGAAAATACTAAACTAATCAAATACTCCAATAAACAAATGGCGAGTGTACATGATTACATGCTATTGGATTAAATACATAATATTTATTAAAAAAGTTAGATATTCTTGATCATTTGAGTAAGCGACAGCAGTATGTATATATATCAGCAAAAAGATACAAAAGAAGAATGAACACTACAAAAAAAAAACCCTATTACCTACGGAATATTACCTACAGATACAAATCCGTAGGTAAATTTTACATTACCTACGGATATTACCCACAGATAAAAATCCGTAGGTAAATTTTACATTACCTACGGATATTACCCACGGATGAAAATCCGTAGGTAAATTGTACATTACCTACGGAATTCTATCCGTAGGTAATTATCCATTACCTACGGATATTATCCGTAGGTAATTATCCATTACCTACGGATATTATCCGTAGGTAATGTAATTCGTGGATAATTCCGTAGGTAATTACCTACGTAATTACTATCCGTAGGTAAAGTGTACATTACCTACGGATATTACCGACGGAATTCTATCCGTGAGTAATTATCCATTACCTACAGATAATATCCGTAGGTAATATCATCCGTGGGTAATTCCATAGGTAATTACCTACAGAATTACTATCCGTAGGTAAATTATATTAAACTAAAAGAATTGTCACTAGCAAGAATCGAACCCAGTACCTTAAAGTTGAAAACTGATACTTCAACCACTAAACTATTAGGATATTCTAATAACAATTTACAACTAAATTATACTTATATTAATTCAGTGTAAATATATAAATATAAATATATAAATATATAATATATAAATATAAAATATATAAATATACAAATATATAAATATACAAATATATAAATATACAAATATATAAATATATTAATATATAAATATATCAAAATATAAATATATTTTATATTTATATATTTTATATTTATATATTTTATATTTATATATTTTATATTTATATATTTTATATATTTATATATTTTTTATATTTATATATTTTATATTTATATATATTTTATATTTATATATTTTTTATATTTATATATATATTTTATATTTATATATTTTATATTTATATATATTTTTTATTTATATATATTTTTTATTTATATATATTTTTTATATTTATATATATTTTATATTTATATATTTTTTATATTTATATATTTAGACGGATAAATATAAATATAATTTATTTGTAAATTATTTTCAAAATATCGTAATAGCTTAGTGGTTGGAGTATTAGCCTCCAACTCGAGGTACTGGGTTCGAATTCTGCCAATGACAATTCCCTTAATCTAATAATAATTCAAAGTTTCGAAAATATAATATAAAGGGGAGGGGGTTGTAATAAATAAAAATATTTTGTTTTGTTAAGGTGAGTGCATTACCTACGGATTATAATCCGTAGGTAATTCCAGCGAGTGCATTACCTACAGATTATAAATCCGTAGGTAATTACCTACGACCAAATTACCTACGGATTTTCTACGGAAAGAAATCCGTAGGTAAAGTGACATTACCTACGGATTTTACCCGTAGATAATAAGCATTTTTTTTTGTAGTGGAAAGTGACAAGTTCAGACTAGGAGGACACTGATTAGGGATGTCAATGATTATTACTCTCTCTAATGCGTCATAAACCAACCATTAATCCTAATTGATTGAAAGATTTGGGATCGTATCATTGATAGTAACTAGCAGAGCTAATAATTACAGTACCTAGGAAAGCTAAAAATGAGGAAAATCTGATTATAATCAGTAGTATTTTATTTTTGTGAGAGACCAAACTCGAATTTTATCATATGATATAGATGATATAAGATTAGACAAGCCAGACCCGGCTCCCCTACCTGACTCCCTTACTCATCCCCACCTCTAAATCCTGCGGATATTAGAAATTGAGTTCCTAACTCCGCCTTGGGTTCCCCCATTCTATCTTATTTTAAAAAATTATTCATAAATTGTAATAAATTAATTTTAACATTATTTTTTGTGTTATTTCTTGTACATAAATATTTGTAATTTTACAACTTTAAAATTATTTTTATTGATTATGTATATATTTTAATTTATTATTTTTATATTAAAATATTTATGTACAAAAATGTTTGATCAATTATTTTTTCATAGGCATAATATGGATGTAGAACATTGTTATTATTACATACTAATTAAACCTTTTATCACATCTATAAGTTAACATTTATTAGGTTTGTCATTTTAAAATGTTAGTAAATATGAAATCTATAATTTATAAGAAAATAATTAATACGTTAATTCATATTGAATTAATACAAAGTGATAGGGGTTTCAACAATCAATCCTTCAAAATTATCAATCCTTTAAAACACATAATATAATAGAAACAAGTTCCAATTAATAATCCTCCAAAACAAATATGAAATATTATCAATCATATTCATCATCTTTCGTTGTTGGTGGAACTTCATTTGGTGTACGAGTAGGTCCATCAAAGTTAAGGTTCTCTTTTGCAATGTGTACTTGTGTTGTTCTATTATCTTCCATTATATACAAAAAATTCTTACAACTACAAAATAAGATATATGTTATTTTTTCTTGACTCCTTTTTCTTCTCAGCCCCATTTTACAACAATTAGTTTTTTTTTTTTTAAATAAGACTTGTAATCAAATAAAAGATAAAAAATACAATTATTTATTTACCATAAAATTTGAGATTTGATGAATAAGAATATTAAAATCTAGAAAAACATGACATAACAAAACCTAATAAAAATGACTAAAAAATACAATAGTACGCAAAGAGCGATACACACTATTTAGAAAATGATAATAAAACAAAGAGTAACCTTATGTGTTCCTCGAACTAGTTTACGTGTTCCTCGAACTAGTTGAAGAAACTGGGGAAGGTGAATTAGTGAAGGGAGCATGCTAAACTAGTTGAAGAGATTAGAGAAGGTCAAAGAGTGAAGGGTGGGAGAAAAGAGAATAGTGTAGAACATAGAAAAAACGGCATTGGGAGTAATGTGAGAAAGAAAAAGAGGCATTGGAAGATGGTTAATATTTTAGGAGTTAAATTTAAATGCAAAGTCAAGACAAGGATGAAGGGTGTGCGGTGGGGATAATAGTGGGATGGAGAGGCTATTATATTATCCATCCTAAACACCACACCAAGTATCAAAATTCTAAAGACTAGTGTGCTGATTTAGATTATTTCACTTCTCCGTGTAAACACACAAACAACGTGTTTCTTTTATCACAACAACTTTGCTATTAAGTGTCTGATTTTACCATTATCAATTTCATATTCATAATTATCAATCATCGTGTTAAAATATGTTTTATTTTATTTTTATGATGTATGTACCCAGATTTAGGATTAGGGCAAGAGCCCGACCTCTCTTTTGTTTTTCTCTCTCATATAAATACAATATATCAGTGTCATAGTGCACTGTCTTTTTCTCAATCCATGGATGAATAGCAATGCATGCATCTAGCAAAGTAAATGCTACAAGGAGAGAGAGGATGACAAGATAGTACATGATATTACAAACACTGTAATCCAAACTAAATATTTTAATAGTACATCAACATAAATACGCAAAAATTACCAAAAATTATATAAATATATCATAGGTATTGTCATTGTCTTTACAAACAACCACCATCAATCTAGGAGCAAGAAGAACATAGGAATTATGCAAAAAATGAAAGGTGGTGAAAATCATAGTAAAAGGAGAAAAAAAAGAAACAAGTCAATGTGAATTTTGTGAAGTATGCAAGAAGAAGAACGAATAATATATATATATATATATAAACCTGAAAAGTATAAAGTTTACAAGAAAAACAGCACAAAAATAAATAAGTAAAAAAGGACAGACATTTGTGAGCTTTTAGGTGTACACAAATACTAAGGTCTGATGGTTGAGTGGTGACCACAGGAAGAACATAGACTTATGAGGGTCAATGGGTGAGCCACAAACAGATGCCAGCTAGTAGTGGGTCAGATAACAGAGTTCAAGACAAGTAACTTTTTGCCTGAATGACTGAAGAACAGTTTCAAATCCAATTATGTTTCTAAAGTAAAAGAGCATCAGAAATTATGAGACTATCAACCAAAACAGATGAGATTCAGAAGTCAAGGGTAAATGGTAGATGTTTAACCTTGTTTACAATAGTGCCTGTGACAGGCACATTTTACTGCTATTGTGCTATAGTGGCCACGAATTTGAGAGTGAAAGTCAAAACCGTAAGAAAGATGCAAATAATTACAGTCAGTAACATTTTTGGGTTGCTCTGCATCATTTTTTAAGATAGACTACTATGATGGAAATGAGAACCTATAGCTATCACCTTCTGCAACACTACTCAATGCAATTACACTATATCACTGTCATTGTCCATGCTTTATTTCTGTTCCATTTCCAGTAAGTATAAGTTAAATCTTACCACTATAACTCAGTCTACTAATTAGTTTTCACAAATGAGTATGACATATCACATTTGTTTTGAACAATCATGCCAAATGATCATGTGATAAGAAAGATTGGGAGAACCACACCACAAAAGCTAGCCATTGTAGTTGGGAGGCCCAATGCCTATAAACACCACAATCTCATACTTCCAATGATGGTGTGGGACTAAGACCCCCTAACTTGTAATTGGATTGTAGCATTATATATAAGCAAGAAAATAAAAGACAAATCGTACCAGAGAAGCAGTTTCGGAGGCATTATGTAGGGGTAATTTTGTTGGAGGTCCATCAAACAGACGAGAACATTCTGCATATGCAGATCCGATTCCAACTCCAGCACCAAAAGCAATAGATGCCCACCGAGTTACAGGACTCCCTAGTACAAGAATCAGAAGCCAAGAAACTCAACATTAACAATTTGGGAAAGTCTCAACCATATATGTTACAAAATGATTCTATTATATAATAAAAGACATTACAAACACCAATCTAAACCACCAACATAGAAATAACTTAACCTTACTTTTTATAATGTAAAAAAATAAAACCAGCAGCTTAAATTGATTATAAATACCAAATTTTCTAATTAAGATGAGACTATTAATGACAACATTAATCATGACACACAACCAAAAAATTGGCTTACATGTCATAAATTGTATGCACAGCAAACTTTGTACAAAAATAGGCGATCATTCTTTTTTCAAACTGACATTGGCCTTCAATGCAACCATAACAGCCTCAGAGGCAGTGGATGCAAATTTCGCAAAACAGATAGAACATTCAAAAATTATTTTCAATATGCACACCAAAAGATATACTAAAAAAGAAATCATGAGATTGCAGATGAATTAGTTGATTAGTTTGAATCAAAATCTGCATGAGCAAAGACATGGTAAAGAACTAAAGTTATCAAACAACATTATTGTTGTGCTAAAATTAAAACAAAAATGAGGCTTAACTATGTTCTACATTCCTGCAAATACAGCATCTTGCTTTTAGCCTTTGCAAAAAATTGGTTTTTGATCCTTTTAATGTTCATCACTTGTTTTAGTCCTTTCCATCACTATAGAGACTAAAAACAAAAACCAGTATAGTTTGCAGGGACGTAATGGCATGGACTAAAGCAAAAGGCATTATATTTACATGGACTAATGATAAGTCCCTGAGTTCCCTTGAGGAGGGAAAGGTCATCCCTAAAAGGATCACCATAAGCATGTCTAGAAGGGAATCCTCCTCCCCACCCTTATCCCTTAATTTATTTTGTATTTTTCCTTCTCTTTAATTTCCTAGACTCGTATTTAAATCTTGTTTTTGTATGATTACTAAAGGATACCTATCTTTTGAAGTCCACCACTTTTTTTGGAGAAAATAAGCTTTGGACCCAAGCCTTTAAAGCATGGATAGCCCATGAGGGAAGAGAAGGTCAACCTTTGACCTCCTAGAAGAGAAAGGTCACGATTTTGGTGAGAAAACAAGGGGAGCCACCCCTTTTAGATTAAATTAGGATAACATGTGCTTCTAGAATCCCTAATGTAATTCCCTCTAGGTCTCCCTCACCCATGCCTATATAGAGAAGGCTCCCCACCTCTTGTAAATGATTAGAAATTGAATGAAAAATTGAGAGTTTTTCTCTTTGAGTGTTCTTTTTCTCTTAGTCTTATCTTGAAACATGGTTCAAGTGACGACAACCACCACCCATCTTGGGTTGGTCCATCCCCCAAGTGCGTGTCACCCCTTCATCCTTACTGCCACTTCTTCTCTTCTCCATTTTTATTTCCTTTTCTTCTCTTATTTTACTGCATTGGTTTGGCTTCATTTTCAGCCTTGTTATTTGTTGTTTCCTGCTTTGTTTCCTCTCCTCTCCTCTCTTGAATCCTTGGAAATACACCTTCACACCTAGATAAGTGATTATCTTAGTGTCCAGTGGGAATCTTTCTTGGGTTTTCTCATCTTAATTGTATCAAACACCTATATGCTTAACTTAAAAACTGCACTCATATCAACAAAGAACAAAAATGTTATATTTTGCAAGAACATACAAACAAAATTGCTATATTTGTAGGGGCATAAAACCTGTTGCTATGGCAAGTTCATGGCAGGAACCAAAACAAGTGGCAAAAGACATTACAACCACGAAAAATAGAAGGCAGAAAAATGTGGTGCTTTCATCTGTCAGAAACATGAAAAGGACGTAGGATTTTCTTCAGAGATTAAAACCACGACATGAGCATCTTCGCAAATAAATGAATCAAAGAAACAAGGTACTGACTGAAAAATAGAAGACCGGCAAATGCACCAGCAGATGAGGAGTAGACGAAGCGACGGACAGTGAGATCAAGGCAGGCGTCCCATTTGGCATCGAGGTCATGCTTTGGGGGAATAATTTGCTTGTCAGCCATTGTAGTTGTAGGGCGAGAACCACCTCTGGTTTTTTCTTTTTTTTTTTATCAAACAACTCGGTTCTGGTCTCGTGATACTTTTTTTAGCTGACTCTGGGTACTCTTCTATTTGTTCCCAAAATTTATATGTTTTCGGGTTCGGGTGGGTTGCATTTCTATTTTCGATTCCTAATTTGGGCATTTTTGGTGAACAGGGCTTGCCCTTTATCGTTTAGGCTTATGCTATTTACACCGTCCAATTTACTAACAACATTGTCTTCAATTTCCTTTCGGAGTATAAATTTATCTGAACTTTTTTTTTCAAATGATTTCTTATTGGTCTAGTCAATAAGGTAGTAAGTCAAACCGTGAATTTTTTTCATAAATAATACTATTTTAAAAAATATTTCCCAAAATAGCACCTCCCAATATAATTTCTAACGCACACAAGTCAGAAATTCAATGCTAAGTCATCCACTCAAGTCAGGATTCTCATGTCTTTCTGATGCACACAAGCCAGGAATCCAATACTGAGTCGCTGACCCAAGTCAGGATTCCAATCTTGGATTCCCTACATTGGGTTAAACAAAAGCAGAAGAATCCAAACACATTTAAAGAGATGCTGACCCACCCACTTTGCTTGGGTTTTGTGTGCGTCAGAAGCCATGTGATGGAGCCTTGGATTCAAACCATTAGACTTCATTATAAATAGACTACTTTCATTCTTTGAAGTTCTCACATTGCACACTCCTAAATCTCTTAAGCTCTTTGCATTCTTTCTTCTTCTTACCTTTAGTGTTCTTTTTGTTTCACACTCCTAAAATGGGTGTAGTGTCTACTATTGTGTCACTATGATGGTTCCATGAACCCATGTCCCCATGTCCCATGGAGGGAGTTACATTCAAGAGAGGAATTTCTCTACAAAGGTTGAAGAAGTTGATCCACAGGAAATTAGAGAAAGAACCTCACGAAAATGTAGCAATCCTCCATTTTTGCCGCCCAACTAGATTTGAAGATGAGATCAACAACTTCATTGCTGTTGAAAAAAATTAGAAATTATGAATATTAACCTGCTCAATCTAATTTTTATATATAGTTAATTTGGATTAAAATCTATTTAATTTATTATTAAGTTCTTAATTAAAATCAATAAGTAAAATTAGAAGACTTGTTTTCATAAATAATACTCTTTTTAAAAATATTTTCCAAAAATAGCACATCTGGATCATTATTTACACAACTAGCATTGTTTACTGTTCACGTATTAAAATGGAAAACGATTCTTTGACAACTGAAAACAAACATCCGTTCGACAACCGGGGTTAAAAAGAAATTAATTAAAAATAAGGGTTTGACTAGTTAAATTGTAGAGGGGTAGAGATGTAATATTGTAAAAATGGGGGATGTAATGGTAAAAAGTGAAATATTTGTTCTTCCTCTCGCTCTCGCGTGTCTTCTCCGTCTGGCTGTTCTTCCTCTCGCTCTCGCTCTCGCTTTGTCTATGTTTAAATATTCGGTTCTATTCATTTGGTTTAGGGTTTAATTTGGTTGTTGATTACGATTTTGAATTCGTTTGCATTGTAAAGAAGAAGCATACAACAACCATCGAGGTTAATGTATTCTTTGCTTTCTAATTATTCACAGATTCTCTGTTCTCTGTTTTCGTTCACTGTTGACTATCTCAATAGTCATAAACATAAACCATGGCTGGCAAAAGAAAAAGCTCCAAGCGCACCCATGGCGACTTCTTCAAGTACCCAGAGGTGATAGCGACCTTAGATAGCGGTTAATTAGAACCGCTTTTAAAAATATATATTAGATAGCGGTTTGATGTGAACCGCTATCTAAAGTATAGTTCAGATAGCGGTTGGCCAAATAACCGCTATCTTAAGTCATATATGTCACAGTGATCGACTATAATTGGATAATAATCGATCATAATGTATAGTTTAGATAGCGGTTGGTCAAATAACCGCTATCTAAAGTCATATATGTCATACTATTCGACTATAATTGGATAATAATCGATCATAATATTCGATCAGGGAGGAGATACCGGTTGGAGGAGAAGATAAGGACAGCTTTCTTCCATTCCACTCTTGCTCCAATCCCAATAGTCTGAGATTGAAGATGATGTCAACAGTTAGCCAAGAAGGTTTATGGCAAACTGGAAGGAGTGTTGAGAGATAAATGATCTACCTTAGGTAATGCTTTGTTTTCAGTGGGAACCGGTGGAGATTGAGGTGAAGGTCTTGTAGTCTCCGGATTGGTTGGAGTAGAGCTAGTACATCGGACACCTGCGCCAACTTGAGAAGAATGCTCATCTGAAATGAGAGTCGATGCAGCGGAGCGATTTGAGCATCATTGCTCGGTGTCACGGATTCCCCATGGTTGGCTTCCGGCTCTGCATCCCGGTTAGGATATGTTAGAAGAGAAGGCTGAGATCAAGCCAAACTGTTTTTATAGAAGATTTTCAAAACTGCTGGTTTAATTAATCTATTAAAAGATTCTTTTAATCTGTTAAAAGTGCAGTTTTAATCTGTTAAAACTTCTTTTAATCCATTAATACGTTCTTGATTCTTTAACAGATTTGTTTTAATTGATACGACAACGTTTATATCAATTAAAACACTTTATAAAAAATCTTCTAAGTCGATTTAATCGATTGTTTCGCGATTCAATCGATTGAAATACAGCAAAACTTTCTTATAAAACTTTTCAAGTTATTTTAACTGATAAAAATAAGTTTTAATCGATTAAAACTCTGTAAAGAAAATTTCTAAGTTGTTTTAATCGATTGAAACGAGATTTAATCGATTAAAAGAGTTCTGATCGGTCATAACTAAATTCTGATCGATCATAACTGACTCTGATCGGTCATAATTGTCTTCTAATCGATCATCCTGACCCTTTAAGTGATTTTAATCGATTGAAACGTGTTTTAATCGATTGAAACGTCACTAAGTCATTGAAACATTGTTAACATGACAGCTACATCTCTGTTTTCATTTATATCTCCCATGCTAGATAAACGATGAAGGATACAGTGCCTACCATTGACAACAATATAATAGCAACCATCTCCTTTAAATTATATTCATATTACAATACACTAGTTTACCTACTTACATCATGCAAAGATACAGTCGCTTGAGCGACTGGTGAACGACAGACGAAACGTCCTACGCAGTTAGCCATCTAATAAATCTTGGTTCACCACATATAACATTCAACTGTCGCTCAAGCGATTACAGAGTCGCTTGAGCGCGACTGAACCCGAAGCAACCTTACATAGTGGTTAATAAGAACCGCTTTTAAAAATATATATTAGATAGCGGTTAAACGTTAACCGCTGTCTAAGGTCTGTGAATAATCGACTATAAGCTATAATAATCGATCATATTCTCTCATTTTTCTAAAGTCGCTCAAGCGACTTTATCATCGCTCGAGCGAAGCCACCTGATAGAATGGGGATTCTCGGGTTGTGTTTCGCTTGAGCGACTATAGTCTCGTTCAAGCGACATTTGATTGACTTTGCAGAGCGGTTAATATGTTAACCGCTCTTAAAAGTAAACATATAATACCGGCTCCATGTTAACCGCTATCTCAAATATACTTTTAATAGCGGTTATATACTGCAGTGCCACCAGAAAGAAAAGACAGGATGCAATTATATAGTGTCTTGTGTACAACCAAATGGTGGAACAATTTGTTAACATGAAATTGAAGGATTGTAATAATGAATGACTTGTGAATTTTAATTGTTGTAGACATATAAACATCAATGTAAATTTGACATTATATATTCACAGAATTTTACAGAATTATATATTCACAGAATTATAGAAAAGGATGGATTTTCAGATTCTGCTTTGTGAAGCTTTTTCAGTGCAACAATTCTGCCACTGGGAATCAGTGTTTGAAGGTCTCAATTGTTTGAAGGTTGCGTCGCTCGAGCGATACGTTATCGCTTGAGCAGGTTTAATCGATTGAAACGAGATTTAATCGATTAAAAGAGTTATAATCGGTCATTATTCAATTCTGATCGATTATGTCTAATTATGATCGGTCATATTTGTATTCTGATCGATCATCCTGAACTCCAAGCCATAGGCTATCCCTTTAACAATATTTATCCTCTTTCTCCACATCATAAATTCTTACGATGGCGAATTTCTGCCAAGATCTTGGTCTCGTTGCAAAAGCTCTTGTAAAAGGATGGATTTTCAGATTCCGCTTTGTGAAGCTTTTTCAGTGCAACAATTCTGCCACTGGGAAGCTCGAAGCGCACCCACTCAGAAGCAACTTCTTCAAGTACCCAAACTGTGACCACGAAGGAGGTCATAGCCCCAAAGGTCCTTCACACCCAATACTTTGTCAATAACGGATCATATAGCACTTATAATCGACCACTTATCGCTCGAGCGGTCATAAAATCGCTTGAGCGAGTTTATACCCAATGACGAAACGTGAAACGCAGTTAATCAAATAATTGTAGTAGGTTCACCACATATTAGAATCACTTTTCGCTCAAGCGTTCAAAACGTCGCTTGAGCGAGACAGAACCCGAGAGTCTCCCTTGTTTGAAGGCTTCGTCGCTCGAGCGAAACATTTATCGCTTGAGCGATTTTATACACAATGACGAAACGTGAAACGCAGTTAGCCAAATAATTTAAGTTGGTTCACCACATATTGTACTCACATTTCGCTCAAGCGTTCAGAACGTCGCTTGAGCGATATAGAACCCGAGTGTCCCTATTGGTTAAGGTTCCATCGCTCAACCGATGTCATCCTCGCTTGAGCGACTGGTGAACCACCGATGAAACGTCCTACGCAGTTAGCCATCTAATAAGTCTTGGTTCACCAAATGTTAGATTCAGATGTCGCTCAAGCGATTACCTAGTCGCTTAAGCGCCTCTGAACGCGACCTTAGATAAGCATATGTTAGATAGCGGTTAAATTTAAACCGCTGTCTAAGCATTGTTAATAATCGAGTATAACCTAAAGTAATCGATCATATTATCTCATTTTTCTATTATCGCTCAAGCGGTGTCATTCTCGCTTGAGCGACTGGTAAACCATAGACGAAACGTTCTACACAGTTAGCCATCTAATAAATCTTGCTTCACCACATATAATATTCAACTGTCGCTCAAGCGATTACATGGTCGCTTGAGCGAATCTGACTGAGAGTCACGAAGCGACCTTAGATAGCGGTTGATAAGAACCGCTTTTAACAAAATATATTAGATAGCGGTTAAAACTAAACCGCTGTGTTATGTATGTTAATGATCGATTATAACCTAAAGTAATCGATCATATGATCTCATTTTTCTACCTAGTCGCGTGACCTTAGCTAGCGGTTGTTTTTAAAAATGTATATTAGATAGCGGTTAACAGTACACCGCTGTCTAACGTATGTTAATGATCGATTAGAACCTAAAATAATCGATCATATTATCTCATTTTTCTAATATCGCTCAAGCGAAATTTACATCGCTTGAGCGACGCCACCTCCTAAGAATGGGGATTCCCTGGTTGTGTTTCGCTTGAGCGAAAATATTCTCGCTCGAGCGACGAAACCTCCTAAGAATGGGGTCACCCATGTTACATTATGCGGCTAACTTTGATCGACGTTTAGCCCAAGGTCAAAATTCGCTCAAGCGAAATTTACATCGCTCGAGCGACATCTGGTTCAAACATGATATTTGTCACTTTTAAGAGTTGTAGACATATAAACATTATGTGGTTAATTATGATAGACATTTAGTCATGTTTTACTATTGGCTTAACCATATATCTGCTGACCACCTCAACTTTATGTGCTTAACTGAACATGACATTTTTGTGTTAATTAGGTGCTAAATTTGTATAGCCCACATTATATGCTTAACCACTTGACTATATATCATTAAATGCACATAAACATACATGATCAGTCGAACAACACATCGGAGGAAGATACAATGCTATCACTATGAGATAAAAAGTATGTACAATATAACATTATCACAGGCCACAAAAATTACATCATAAAGGTCTGCATCAAATATAAATTACAATTACAACAAAACCTAACAAAATAATTCATCTACACAACACTTATGTTGCCTTTTTTCTTTTCCTTGAATTAGTCATCCACGGTGTTTTGACCATAAAACTTTTATACCTTATTCTTGGATGACCTTTAAGTCGCGTATACATATTTGACCCTTGACAATGCAACTTTGATTCTTCTGTTGCTTCAACATGATGCTTCATCTCTTTAATACTACTACCTTCAAATACTGGAGAAAAGTACATCCCACATGATGGAGGATTTACTTCTTCTGTTGATAGTTTTGCTTCATCTAACAATTCGTGTAATTGTGTTACATCTTCCTCTAGTTTTTCAATTGTTGATTCCTGTTGTTTGGTTACGGCGATCAACATTTGATTCTCAGCCATAATTCCACACAACATATTAGTCAAATTTTTCACTTCTTCAGATGCATAAGTGGTATGTCCTAATGCTTCTTTCACTATATCATGCGCAAGCTCTTCATTTCTGACGCACAAGTCATGAATAACCTATGAGTAACAAACAATGTCAAATTGAAATCACATTTTGACATATGGTAAAGTAATATTGCAAACAAGTTCTACTAAATTTTTAATGAACTAACCCTATTATGATTAAACGCAACTACAATCTTGCTTTCCCCAATTACAACAGAGGTCCATTGTAAAAATCTCGGAAATCGACTTATCTCATTACATGATTTGGTATTATAAAATACATGCTCCCTAACCCATACCTGAATTCATATAAACAAAATGCACAATATCAAATCAGCTGACTATATTGAAAGTATTCTAACAAAACATATATCGTAATTTAAGATTTACCTGTAACAAAAACACACATCCTAGTACACGGAAGTGTGAACAATTTCTTCGTTTCTTCAAATAAATCGATGCTTCACATAAACTTCCAACCAGATATTCATACACTGCTTTTCCCCAATTATACTTTCCAAGACAAGATATATTATCTAATAACTTAAAAAATCCACAATGTGCGATACCTACTTTATTAGGGAATAAAAACTCTGACAAACCTAAAAGTATGTACAACCTACAAAAGTCATCCACATCCTTATCATTTTGACGTTTAACAAGTTCATTAAAAATCATTTCCAAAGTAACATGTTTCCCAGTAAATAGTCTCCTAGTATGACAATCAATGTTTCCTTCTACAATGTTGACATTTTCGCCTACTACACGAAGTCCTAAACCTAAACACACATCTAATAGTGTAAAGCATACTATCTCAGACCTTATATTAAATCCTCCTCTCTTTTCAACCCATCTACTTATTAATTCACTAAGCAATGTTCTACTAATTTTGACCTTTCTACCCAATGACATCAACCATTTAAATGGTGTTGCCTCAATACGACTTCTTTGCTCTGTAGTAAGAATGTTATTCACTTCACCCAAATAATTAGTCCTGCAAACATGTCGCAAATATACCTGAAAATCACATTAAATAATTATAATTATCATCAACAATATCCTATATTATATAAATGGATACAACATTCACCTTCTTAACATTTGAAGATCCATCGTCTACGCTTTCCATTTCAAACTGCAAATACATGTAACCCTATTTAATTTGAGTTCATAGTATAACATTTATTTACTGTCATGATGTTTACTACAGGTCGAGCACATTCATACAAGTATTTCATGACAACAATCTGAGTATCATCTAATAATGAATATCATAAAAGTTATGTCAAAGCATATACTCATTTTCATTACTAAGGGTCAATAACACGCAGTAAGAAAACACAATTTCAGATCACAATGTAGACAAACTCTAAACCCTAAACCCTAAAAATATATAATGCACTAACTCCCAATAAGCGCCGCCTACAACAACAATGGCGAATGGAGACTGGAACGCGAACTTGGCGACACACAGATATATTACAATGTAATATGCTTCAATGTGAGCAAGAGAATCAGAAAGATTGAAAATACAAAGAACGTACCTTTAACTTAATGGAAGACGCAGACAGCGAGAATGAGAGCGTAGAGAGCGAGAATGAGAGCGCAGAGAGCAAGAATGAGAGCGCAGAGAGCGAGAATGAGAGCGCAGAGAACGGGAAAAAAACGCAGTCAGAAAGAGCGGGGGGTTGAAAAGAATATGACTTTTAGATAGCGGTTACTTCTGAACCGCTAATAAAAACATACTTAAGTGAGCGGTTCACTCACAAACCGCTATATTATATGTTTTTTTAAAAGCGGTTGTTATTAACCGCTATCTAAAGTGTAGTCGCTCGAACGAAGTAAATTTCGCTTGCGCGACGCTACCTGCCCAAAACACTGTGCTTTTAATATTTTTTATTCGGTAACACTGTGCATTTAATATTTTTTTATTCAGTTGTCGAATGGATGTTTAAAATTGGGTGTCAAAATATCAGCACTCTATTAAAATAATCGATTATTATATATTATGAACGAGCATTTCGCGCAATCAACTATCGCTCAAGCGAATATATCCTTCGCTTGAGCGATAAAATATGTAACAAAGGGGTAATCTCGGGTCAAGTATCGCTCAAGCGAATAAACCCTTCGCTTGAGCGAGAAAATCTGTAACAAACGGGTAATCTCCGGTCAGTTATCGCTGAAGCGACGGGTATTTTCGCTTGAGCGATAAGTGATTAAAATTATATTTTAGAGAACATATTTTCGCTGAAGCGAAGAACATATTTTAATCACTTCTCGCTCAAGCGAAAATACCCGTCGCTTCAGCGATAACTGACCGGAGATTACCCCTTTGTTACAGATTTCCTCGCTCAAGCGAAGGATTTCTTCGCTTGAGCGAGACTTCACCCGAGATTACCCCTTTGTTATATATTTCCTCGCTCAAACGAAGGGTTACTTCGCTTGAGCGAGTATTGATTGCGCGAAATAATGTAAAATAATCGATTATTTTAATACGTGAACAGTAAAGAGTGCTAGTTGTGTAAATAATGTTCCAGATGTGCTATTTTGGAAAATATTTTTGAAAAGAGTATTATTTATGAAAAAAAGTCGACTCCGGGTGCTCTTCTATTTGTTCCCAAAATTTATATGTTTTCGGGTTCGGGTGGGTTGCATAGGGGGAAGCTCAAAGGACAAGAGACTTATTGTCTATGAAGAAACAAAGGAATCAGCTTTAAACTACATTATTTGATAATGAGGTGACCCTTTCTGACAATGTTAAAGAGAATCAGACTCTTGTGCTTCAAGTGAACGAGTTTCAAACTCAAAACAATTTATCAATTGTGAGAACTGAACTAGTTGAGGAGGCTGAGGTCAGAGCTAAGGATGTCAAAGAAAAGGTTAGGTACCGAAGCTAAGCTTGTTAAGCTACAAGCAGCATTTGACAAGCAAATGACCAAGCAGCCAAACTTCAATTGGTCGAGGAGTAACTTGTTAAAGTGTTTGAAGATGACTTCAGCAAAGCCATGGAACAAGCTATTGTGATTAGTCTGGATATTAATATCGAGTTGTTTAATATGGAAAAATTAGTTGTTAATGGGTAGTTAGTGAATGATTGACCCTTTTGTTTAATGTATTTTGTATTTTTGAACAATTTTTTCGTATTTAGTGCAACATAACTCGTGTTTTTCAGTAATTGTAATTTAAGTTTTAACTTGTGCATAAATACATCTCGATTAAGATTTAACCTTATCTAATATGAACATGTAATTCAAATGAATATATATATATATATATATATATATATATATATATATATCTTAGATAAACTACCTTTGCATTAATGTATAACTTGGATCAAATAAAGTTAGTTTGACTCTTTTTATAATGATACAAAGGCTTGATAATGTGTTTTGATAGGTACGTTTATAAGGACATGTTATGATAGCTACATCTAACATGTTATGATGGCTACATTCTTTCACTCCAGTCTCCAGTTAGGCCAGTAGGCCGAAATATTTCATATTTTTGTAAGTTATGGCAGCTACGCCTTTTCATGTTAGCTTGGATCCAAGTGATGGAATGTGAAGTAAATGATTTGGTAAGTTGTGGCAGTTACACCCTTGGTTCAAGTTTGAGATACTTGTTGCTTACCTTAGTTGTAGAATGTCTTTAGATGAGTTTCATTTCATATTCGTGGTATCATTTTGTCAGATAATTCTTGTAATTTGTATGCTCCATTTTAAAATGAATCCATTATTCAGTATGGATCATCTCAATTTGATATTAACTTTCTGTTTGCTCGGTCTCTATGAGCTTCTCTCACTTTTATTTGTACTAGGTCTCCTTTTTGAAAACTTCTTTCTTGTACTTTTGTGTTATATCTTTTTTCATCTTGTCTTTTAATGACTTCTTCTTTGATATGAACATAATTGCAAACTTCAATTACTAGATCCAACTCGGTTTTGAGATTGTCATCATTACATTCTTCATAAAAAAATTTCTTTCTCCAAGATTCTTGGTGTATTTTTACTGGTATCATGACATCAATACTATAAGTTAGGCGAAAAGGAGTTTCTTGCGTTGAAGATTAAGGAGTACAATAATATTCCCATAATACTTGAAATCTCCTCGGGCCAACATTTTTTATCATGTTTGAACTTTCATTTGAGCTTCTTTAATATGAATTTATTTGCAACTTCTACTTATTCATTTGTTTGAGGGTGTTCTACATATGTTACTAGGTGTTTTATTGTAAACCCTTCTAAGAATTGTTCCTAACTTTTGTTAGTAAATTATTTTCCATTGTCTAGTATAATAGTATGTGAAATTCAAAGTCTACATATTATATTTTTCTATATGAATTTTCGTACTCTGTGATGGTAGTTAAAGGCTTACTCCGATCCACTTAGTGAAATAATTATTGTAAATATAAGAAATTTTACTTGTTCTTTTGTTATAGGGAACAAATCAAGTATATCAATGCCCTATTTAGTAAATGGCCTAGTTGCCTTAAATATTGGGTCGATTTTTAACATGCTTGACATTTTTTTACAAACTCCTTTGTGTCTTTTTTCAATTCGACCAATAATAACCTACTCACAGTACCTAAGCAACCATGTTTCTACCTTTTGAATAGACTCCACAAATTCCATTATGCTACTCGTTGATTACATACTTGACTTGATCCTCATCTATGAATTTTAGCAGAGGACTTGAGAATCCCCTTTTAAATAGTTCTTCATTATGTAAGACAAAGAATGTCATTGTTCTCTTCATTTTCAAGCTTCATCCAAACTGTTTGGAGGTATTTCATTTTCAAGTAGTGTATTATGGGAGTCATCCATGTTGGTTTACAAAGGTCTATATGGAAAACATCATCATGACTCCAACTTGGTGTTCTCAGTGTTTCTTGTTTTGAGAGAATATAACATGTTGGTTTACCAAGGTACTATGTAACATCTTATGCTAACCAAATTTATTTTGAGAGAATATCAGTTCGGTCATTATGTTTATTAACGGATAAAAAATATTTATCAAGTTTTTGGTCATATGGTACTATTTTTATATAAAGGATTCATTGGTCTAAAATTCTCCACTAATTTGTCCCATTATGAGTTTCAAATCACTTCTACAATGGAGTTGTTTTACTCTCATTTCTTTTGTCAGTTTTAGGTCAGTTATCAATGCTTTATATTAGGCTTTATTGGATGTTTGAAATTCAAACATGATATTGTTAAGACATTCCAAAATAAATTCAACTTCCTTACCCTTCTTTGAAGTGTCATCTACTGATAAAATCTACCATTCATGCTTTTCTTTTTGAGGTGGGAGTTTTAAAAGAAAGTTAGTTAAAAATTGAGTTTTAATTGGATATCAACTTTGATATGATATATCAAATTCAAATAAATCAAGTGTTTATGCTATCTTTCTTTTAGCTAACTCAAGTTTTTGAAATACATAGATTAATGTCCATGCTATCATTCTTCAAGCTAACTCAAACTTTTGCAAGACATAGGTTAATCTCTTATAACTACTATAGAATAACTTTGGAAATACAATCTTAACCTTTTAGTCAAATTTATTAGAGGTAAAACCAATTTTTCTAATGCTTTTACATAGACTTATCAATATTAACTTGATAATTTTAAACTAAAGTCATAAATTAAACAAAGGAATGACCAATGACTATTCCTCATTTTCATTAATTCAAGATAGTTCTCTCTCGCATGCAAAAAAGCAAGTTCCAGTGAACTTGATGATCTTGTTGAATCTCGTCAAATTAAAATCATATTTTCCTTTCTTTTCTAAAGATTGGAAGAGATTTCAGAAAAAAAAAAAAAAAAATGAAAAAAATGGGAAGTGTAAAATGAATTGTCAAATCCTAATGATAAAGCTATTTCCAGAATTGAACTATGTTATGTGGAAGGAAGTACAGTATTGAGCTAGACTCCATGAATTTCCTGGGGGGAGGGGAAGCAGCACTTACAAAGATCCCCAAATAAAGCATGAAAATCATAAATAACAGGGACCTTAGGCCAATGTTATTAAAATAAAATACTTAAAAATTAAATTGAATCCGAAACTGTCCATAAAAACCGATTAACCTCGACTTTTTAAACTAATTTGATTCGACCCGTGATCCGGTCAATTTTTTCAGTTCGGTTTTTTCTGGTTGTAGTTGGGTCGGATTCCATGATCACGTCTGTTTATAGGCTATGGAAATAGCAAGTGAATGGTGTTGGAGCTGCTATAGATGAAATTCGAAAGTATATCATAAAATGCAGCTAACACAAAATATTCTCATACTTACATCAAACTATACTACGAAGCATAATTACAGGACCCAGAAAGGTACAATTCCTCTTATAATAATAGAGTAGGAAAGGAGGATAAACGAACTAATTATTTGAAAGGAGGATAAACAGACTACTTATTTGAAAGGAGGATAAATAATCCTGATTACATGTTCTTCATTTGTCTCTAAATCTGAAACCATGCTCACTACCTACATGTCTTGCTTTGGCTTCCGGCTCAATTCTGAGTAATGCCCACCCATTAACTGCAAAATCTCCTCCCACAAATTTTCTGATGAATCTGATAGTGCCCCACAGAGCAAACTTGAGCTACATGCAGCCACATACCAATAATCTGACTCAATTTCATCACTCAGCTGATCCAGTTGCCATCCAGCATAACCAACAAAGAATCTGAAGTCACGAGGCTTGAGAATCCCCTTCTTCACAAGCCCTGCAGCATCATCCAAACTGTTTCGAGATCCAAAACATAGCCCAGGGATTACCTCTTCAAATCCAGGAAGCTTCATCTTTTCCTCTGTTTTCAATAAAACCATGCTTGCCTCAAGAGGTCCACCAAAATGCAGAGAACAATCAGAGAACGTAGTTAATAGATCATGATTTGTAGGTTTCATGTGTTTGATTTTTTTGTGAAGAGGACGGTTGATGACAATTCCAAAAGGTCCTCCTTGGTGATGTCTAGTTCCGGATCTGAGAAGGAGAATAACAGTTCTTTCAAAAGTGCGAACACCATCAAGCTTTTCCGTAGCCACAAGTATGAAAGTGATGAAGATCTTAGTGAAATACTTTGGCAAAGATCTCATTGATTTGATGAAGTCAAAGATGCAGTCAAAAAGCTACTTTGCAGCGGTCAACTAGTCACTCAGATAAAAGAGTTAGAGGATTAGTGTGTCTAACAGAATGCTTAGGTAAAACCACTTTATCTTTTCTGCTGCATGAAGTTTCTTCACTTAAATGATTTTGCAAAATGCCTCTAAAATCGTTTTAAACAATTAAAAACAAAGCATTTTGACAAAACCTTTCTTAATAATGTGTTTAACTGATAAAGTTTTAAAAGAACCGATTAAAATCACTTAAAATGTTCAAAGAAGTGTTTTTACAGTATTTTAATCGATACAAATTGCTTTTAATCGGGTAAAACCATTTAGAACCCATTATGATCGATCAGAATAAAAAGATGACCGATCGGAATAAGATGTGATCGATCAGATTTGAATTATGAGCGATCAGAATTTTTTCAATCCAATAAAACACGTTTCAATCGATTAAAATTACTTAAAGGGTCAGAATGATCGATCATAATACAGTTATGACCGATCAGAGCTTTTATGATCGATCAGAATTGAATTATGACCTTTTCAATCGATTAAAACGCATTTCAACCGATTAAAACAACTTGGAAAAATTTTGTACAGAGTTTTAATCGATTAAAACTTCTTTTTATCAGTTAAAACAACTTGAAAAGTTTTATAAGAAGGTTTTACAGTATATCAATCGATTAAAACACGAAACAATCGATTGAATCAAACTTAGAAAAGTTTTGTAAAATGTTTTAACTGATATAAACATTATCGTATCAGCTAAAACAAATCTGTTAAAGAATCAAGAACGCATTAATGGATTGAAAGGACTTTTAACAGATTGAAATGGCTATTTCAACAGATTAAAACAAACTTTTAACAGATTAATTAATGCAGCAGTTTTGAAAATACTCTTTAAAAACAGTTTGGCTTGAACTTTTTAAACATACATTGAACATCAGTTTTTACACATCCTTAAGCAATCACTCAAGCAACTTTAGCACACTTTTTCAAGAAAGATTCGCAACAGTTTTTAGAAGTTCTTTTGAAAATCTTTCTTGAGGCAACTTGCATACTTTTGAAGAAGAAACTCTCTGCAGATTTGGATAAACTGGTTTGAGCTTTCTAGTTTCTTCTTTGTCAATTCTTTTTCATTCTTTTGTATTGTGTTGTGCCTGGAATTTGGGCACTGGTTTCTCTGCAGCTGGAATTTGGTTGTAGAGGTTATCAAGAACTGGAATTTGGTTCTTGGTGAAAGGTTAGGTGTTGGTGCCTGGAATTTGGGCACTGGTTTCTCTGCAGCTGGAATTTGGTTGTAGAGGTTATCAAGAACTGGAATTTGGTTCTTGGTGAGAGGTTGAGTGCAGGAACTGGAATTTGGTTCTTGTGGTAGATTAAGTGTAAGATTGTAAATCTGTAAAACATTTGATCTAGTGGAACCCAGCTGGAATTTGGCTGGAGACTGGACGTAGCCCTGGTATTGGGTGAACCAGTATAAAATACCGGTGATATCTTTCTTAACCTTTCTCTCCTTTAAATTCTGTTGCTGCATTATTTTGATTGATTGCTTTGAGATTCAAGAACAGATCTTTAAACTTAATTTTCGAATTAGATAATCTGTTATTTGCGAAAAACTTTCAAAGATCAATTCACCCCCCTCTTGATCTAAAACTACTTTTCTATCAAAGTACGCAACCAGTCTCAGGCACTGGAATAGGATGAGCCCACTGTGTTCCAAGAGGATTGGAATTGGGCAATGCTCCACTATGATTATGCATGTCCGTATCTGATATTTCTTTCTGCTATAATGAAGTAAAGAAAACCAGTTAATTAAATATAATGTCTAACTCAATCAGTGTATTGCTTAGATATGCTCCATCATAAATGATTGCGTCCACATCAATAACTAGAAGTATTGCAAAAAGTAAAAAAGAATACTCATAAAAGGGTATTAATCAAGTCTGTAGGGCTTAAAACCTGGTTACCAATATAAATCATTAGTTAACAGAAAAGGTGTAGGAAAGTTCTGACTTAACCAAGTGTCCTAGATGGATGACAAATCCATCAAGAGGAGATGATTTTGAAACTATCAAACATGGTTCTATGACTGAAAAAAAGCACAGGTATAACTCTAATAGATGTTTTGAAACAACACTATTTCAAGATTCATGAAATTGGTGCTTACAAAAAAATAAAAAGATTCATAAAATTGACCCCTTCCACTTAAAAATGGCATGCAAGAGCTAGATATAGATCCCATTTAGGAACGAATGCAGCACCAGCTCATCTCTATATAGCTTTGCCCTGAACTCACGCCAATCCACACTAGTATGATGACATTTCTCAGGGTTGCTATCTGATTTGTTACCATCAGCAGAATTGTTCTCTCTAGTACCATCTCCTTCTGGCATGGACCGTTCGCCATTTCCTATAATGATCAATATATTCATTAACAAGAAAAGTAAAAACATCATTATTAAGAGAAAACAATAAAATGAAAAAAAGGGATAATATGGAAAACAAGGAAGTAGTACTATGATTTTGTTATGATGCCAATACTTATTTGAGTGATCAATCCAAAATTTTATCCTTTTGTCTCTATATATTTCTACCAAGTAGTCTCCAAACTCTAATCCCAAGAAACAACAAGGACAGTACAGTACAAGACTACCTAGTTTTCACCAGACAGAATTACTTGGCCTATGTAATAGAAAAGCTAGTCAATGCCTCTTTAGGTGAAATTTATATTATGTAAGAAAAATAAAAACCACCTGAAGAGATGGTGTGGAACAATGTATCTTTCCTCAACTCTAAAAGCATTTCCAAATCCCGGTTATTCAAGCATGTGTGCAAACATAAAATTGCATTTTATACGCAAAGTATATTGGGTTCCTCAACAATATAGAGGTCATCAAGAACATGCAACTAGATCTTAGATGTCATCAGGGCAAAAAAATCTAAAAAACTGTGTATTCATGCTTAAGTTGTAAAAAAGAAGCCCATTTCTACAGCTCTGATTATTTAAGGTAGACCAATCTAAATTTTAAACATGTAACGAAGTAAACTACAAGAATTAAAAGAAAACATGGTTCAACACAGTAAGATTGGTGATGCATAGCTGATTAGTGGATAACAGATAAGTATGTCTATCAATAAAATAATTTAAATAAGCAATGCAACTGTTGATTATACAGGATAAACTCTCAAAATGTACAAGAATATCTATATTTTAATAGAAATTACCTGCACTTGCAATTGCCCATGGAGAAAGAAGACCAAGCTAAAATATTATTGCAGCAAGGGGAACGAAGCAATAAATAATAACCATTTGTAATTGTCTAGGTATCATGATTGTGCGATTATAGTTCCTCATGTTCAATTGTGCCAATTGGGTTTCCTGTGCTATTTAGTCCCCCATGTTCCAATTGTACAAATTAGATCCCCAACTATTGCAACTGTGCGATTTTAGTTCGTCAGACATGTCACAAATTCCAATGGACGGATTGAAACTTGCATAATTGCGATATTTGGGAAATTTAATGGATAACAATTAGAATTTGGACGTCTAAAATCATACATTTGTGATACTTGAAGGACTCAATTAGTGCAAATGAAACTTGGAGAACTAAAATAGTACAATTGCAATACTTGAGAGACCTAAAGTGCAATTAAGCCAAATAAATACTACTCCCATTCATGACAAATATGGTACAAGAAAAATAAATAACACAGACCAATTTGATAGTAAGATCATTCGGCCTCGCTTCTACGCTTTCCAAACAAAAAGAAGAGATAGTACCTTTAGAGGAACAAAATATATACCAAGTCCCCAACAAAGATAGTAGCATAAGAATGTAATAAAGATTTTTACACTGTCAAACAATTAGAAATCATCATGGGTATAAGTTTCAAGGTAGTTATTACAAAGGGAAAATTCTTACCATACATGATTGTCTATAATTGGGAGAATGCAAGTGTTTTTAATTAAATCCAGTTGCACAAAACACTAAGTTAACAAACTATTTAGAACTTCATACTGTCCATACTGCAAAACTATTCACTAGTTGTATATATTATTAACATAGCACCCCAGGTTGGCAATTTTAAAATTGAAATCATAAATTAAACAAAGGAATGACCTATGACTATTCCTCATTTTCATCAATTCAAGATAGCTCTCTCTCGCATGCAAAAAAGCAAGTTCTAGTGAACTTGATGAACAGGCAACAAAACCGTTGATTTTTGAATTGGATGTGTTCTTTCATTTGTTGAATCTCGTCAAATTGAAATCATATTTTCTTTTCATTGCTAAAGATTGGGAGAGATTTCAGAAAAAAAAAAAAATTGAAAAAATGGGAAGTGTAAAAATGTTAAACCCTAATGATAAATTATAAATCTGTTGGGTGGTTCTCTCACTCAAGCCAACTAAGAAAATTTTCTTAATCTCTTATTTCTCTCATTTCTTAACATTGTTTTACATTGCTAAATGACATAGAATATTATAATGTTACTTGAATGCTTCAAGTAATCCATTATGAAAGTGATGGAGATCTTATTGAAATAATTTGGCAAAGATCTCATTGATTTGATGAAGTCAAAGATAAAGTCAAAAGTCAACTTTGCAGCGATCAACAAGTCACTTAGATAAAAGAGTAGAAGGATTAGTGTGTCTACAGAATGCTTAGGTAAAATCATTTTATCTTTTCTGCTGCATGAAGGTTCTTCACTTAAAGATTTTGCGAAATGCCTCTAAAATCGTTTTAAACAACTAAAAACAAAGTATTTTTACAAAAGTTTTCTTAAACATGTTTTTAACTGATATAGTTTTGAAAGAACCGATTAAAATCACTTAGAATGTTCAAAGAAGTGTTTTTACAGTATTTTAATCGATACAACTTGATTTTAATCGATTAAAACCATTTAGAACTCATTATGATCGATCAGAATACAAATATGACCGATCAGAATCAGATGTGATCGATCAGATTTGAATTATGAGCGATCAGAATTTTTCAATCGATTAAAACACGTTTCAATCGATTAAAATCACTTAAAGGGTCAGAATGATCGATCAGAATGCAGTTATGACCGATCAGAGTTGGTTATGATCGATCAGAATTGAATTATGACCGATCAGATCTGTTTCAATCGATTAAAACGCATTTCAACCGATTAAAACAACTTGGAAAAATTTTGTACAGAGTTTTAATCGATTAAAACCTATGGTTTATCAGTTAAAATAACTTGAAAAGTTTTATAAGAAAGTTTGCAGTATTTCAATCGATTAAAACGCGAAAGAATCGATTGAATTAACTTAGAAGATTTTTTGTAAAGTGTTTTAACTGATATAAACGTTGTTGTATCAGCTAAAACAAATCTGTTAAAGAATCAAGAACGTATTAATGGATTGAAAGGACTTTTAACAGATTGAAACGGCTATTTCAACAGATTAAAACAAACTTTTAACAGATTAATTAATGCAGCAGTTTTGAAAATACTCTTTAAAAACAGTTTGGCTTGAACTTTTTAAACATACATTGAACATCAGTTTTTACACATCCTTAAGCAATCACTCAAGCAACTTTAGCACACTTTTTCAAGAAAGATTCGTGGCTGTTTTTGAGAAGTTCTTTTCAAATCTTTCTTGAGGCATATTGCTTTTCTTTGGAGAAGAAACTCACTGCAGATTTGGATAAACTGGTTTGAGCTTTCTAGTTTCTTCTTTGTCAATTCTTTTTCATTCTTTTGTATTGTGTTGTGCCTGGAATTTGGGCACAAGTTTCTCTGCAGCTGGAAGTTGGTTGTGGAGGTTATCAAGAACTGGAATTTGGTTCTTGGTGAAAGGTTTGGTGCCTGGAATTTGGGCACTGGTTTCTCTGCAGCTGGAAGTTGGTTGTAGAGGTTATCAAGAACTGGAATTTGGTTCTTGGTGGAGAGGTTAAGTGCAGGAACTGGAATTTGGTTCTTGTGATAGATTAGGTGTAAGATTGTTGAATCTGTAAAACATTTAATCTAGTGGAACCCAGCTGGAATTTGGCTGGAGACTGGACGTAGCCCTGGTATTGGGTGAACCAGTATAAAATACCTGTGATATCTTTCTTAACCTTTCTCTCCTTTAAATTCAGTTGCTGCGCTTATTTTGATTGATTGCTTTGCGATTCAAGAATAGATTAGTAAACTTAATTTTCGAATTAGATAATCTGTGATTTGCGAAAAACTTTCAAAGATCAATTCACCCCCTCTTGATCTAAAACTACTTTTCTAACACATTAAACGCGTCACCGCTTTTATTTCCTCTTGAAATTCATATCATAGAAAAAACCACACTGGCTTAATTGATCTTTACACCTGTAAAGGCATGCATACATGGAGTGGTTGGATCCTACTTTGGACTCCAAATTCTGACACTAATAGCAAATTCAGTTCGTGCTTGAGTTTCTTCTTTTACTTTTATTTACTAACTCAAATTCCTGAATTACCTCACATAATAGCCTCTTCTATACCTCATGGAGTATATTTACCTTGTTGAATGCGATTCTTCAGCATGTTTTCAGAAAAAGTTCGATTTGAATCTTCGAAAACCAACTCAAGATGCTGCAGACTCAAAAATATCATGTAGTTTACTGAATGTGGAAGATGGGATAGATGATGAAGCATGTGAATTAGTCAATGGAGTGGAGCTTTCACTTGGGGAGGGTGATGATAATATCCGTGCTTATCTGTTCAAGGCAGTAAAAAATAACAATGGAACAGGTCTATTGCTTCTTTCAGATGTTTTCGGGTTTGAGGATTCTTTCACTAGAGATTTTTCATATCGGGTAGCTTGCAATGGTTACAAGTATGCTCCTCAACTCCTACTCATCAATAACGTATTAAGATTTGCAATCCACATTGTGTAGTGGCTGTTTTCACTTTATGATACCATTGTTAGCGAATTTACTTCGAACAAATTTGCAGCATTCTAGTTCCAGACTTATTTCGTGGAAATCCATGGACAAAGGAGCAGCCAGATGTGTTTGAAAAGTGGATTACTAGACAAAACCTAGAGAGGATAGCAGAAGACATTGGCAGATGGACAAAATGGCTGGTTGATGAATTTATGGCTGCAGGGATTTCCAAGAAACTTGGCATTATTGGCTTCTGCTTTGGAGGTGGCCAAGTGTTAAAGGTGCTGGCCCAAGATCAAGGTTCTTGTTTTGGCACTGGAATCTCCTTTTATGGTACAAGGATGGCTCACCTTGCTGCTTCTGATATAAAGGCTCCTGTCTTATTTATTTTAGGAGATAATGACCCACTTTGCGTGGTAAGTGAAATAGAGAATATTCAGAAAAAAATTTGCGGGGGTTCCAAAGTAGTGGTGTTCCCAGGTAGAGGTCACGGATTTGCTCACCGCCCTGGATCTCCTGAAGAAGATGTGGATGCCGAACAAGCTTACGTGATTATGAGAGACTGGCTATATGATCATTTGATTATATAAAATTGTATATATACAACAGTTGCGTCTTAACATGTTAATACTAACAATGGTCTTCCATTTTCATTGTATTCTACTTCATATTCATGACATAACATTTCTCCAATAATTATCTGAAGTTTATCAAATTGGTTTTCATTTATTGCATTTATAGAACATTTATTATAAATACTTAATTTTCATCTCTTCTTTTAATAAGAACATTATGCTTTCCTTTGACTCTAGCAGTCCTATTATCATTCAACTTTTTTATTTTTTTAACTTTTTAGTCCATATTAATGACAAACCATTCTTTATTTTCAGTCGTGCGATTTGATCACTTAGTGTCTAAATACTAATAATCATATTTGAAACCAAATCATGATTATCATCTTGTGTCCTTTCCCTTCCCTTATTATTCTTAATGATCCCATTATGGATAATTCTATCATATTTTCCTCCTTTACTCTGATTTCCTCTTCTCTGGCCAAATTTTTCATGACCTTCATTCTTTTTTATGATTGTCACCACCAAAATTTCAATTTGAGAGCCTAGAAGGACTTTCACCAAAATCTTTTAATTTGTTCTTCCAATTCTCCTTCTTGTTTTAGTTGTCCCAACTATAATTTCTTCCAAAAGCTTCTACATGTGAAAACCTAAGCATTGATTCTCTTAAGCATTACTCATAAGAGGCCTTTATTCATGACTTCAAGGAAGATCTATAACTCCTCCACCTTCATATTTCCAACAACTTTTTATTCCTCTATTGCCATCACAATGTAGTCAAATAATTAAGAGTCAAAATTCCTTGGTCGTTATTTGCTTGAATGAAACCTCTGGCTTCAAGCAACTGAAACTTTACCTTGATTTTTCAACAACTTCATATGATTTGTTTAGAATATCACAAGCTTCGTTAGTTGTCATAAATCTTTTACCAAAAAATAATATCTTAAATTTTGGGAGACTGACACATTGACAGATCAAGAATTCATACTTTTTTTCAACTGTGATTACATAATTTTCTTGCTTAAAATTTGTCTCAGTTGCTTCTTCAAGCAATTATTGCTTAAAAGTACACATTATTATTTTATTTGACTAACAAAACCGTTACCCGTGAAAGGAACAAACCGCAGAAGAGATAAACATATTAAAGGAACATAGATTTAAACATGAAACATAATATATATCACCACAAAAAGACAAACAAAAAATCACAACGCGGCGTGAACACAAGCAACAATGCGCGAGCAATGATCTCTGACACAGACGCTCAGATCTTGACCAAGGACGGCCTGATCTCGACCTCGGAGGCAACAACGAAACCACGTGGAGTCATCACACTAAATCACGTGTAACTGCAACGGAGCCAGGCAAAACCATCGTTCCGATGCGAAGTGGTTAAGAAAAAAAAAAAAGGCTAAGGAGAAAGGAAAAGGGAAGTGGAAGAAGGGCGCCCAAGAAGAAAGGAACGCGGGAAATAAAGACGTAGCCAAATACGGAGAAAGAAAAGCATTGGAAAGTTGAAGACACAACCTTAAAAAAAGATGAAGTTATGAATTTTCTATGTTTAGTGTAGAAAATTTTGCTCACATTTTTTCCACCTCAAAAATTTTATTTTCTATATCAACTGTTTCTTTTAGAATTTCAATTAATTATCAATATTATTATAATTTATCACAAAAAATTTCCATTTATTTTTCAAAATTATAAGTGTATAGAAGAATTAAATAATTAAAATTATTTTTAAATTAAAGCATTGTGCGATTGACTACTCAAGTAATTATTTTTTCAAGAAAAAAATGAATTAAAATTTTCACTAAAAATGTTAGTTTTTTACAAAGTTACTAATTACATTTAATTATTTTATATTAATAAATATTAGTATATACCATAATTAATCTAAATAAAAAAATTACTAAATGGTAAATTACTTTTCTTAAGATTACTTCTGTTTGAACTAATGAGGTGAATAAATGGAACTGATATTTTACATTTTTTAACATGTAAAACAACTCATTACTTCCGCTAGAGTTATCCTTACCAAACTAAACCCTAAAATCTTGGCTAAAGATATCTTGATATATATCCATTAAATTACACATTACAAAATCTTAATCAACAAAAAATTATAATTCATAACATTTCGTAGCCTTTTAAATCTACAAGACTTTTTTTTTCCATCAAAATAAGTTTACAAAAAATGTAATTTATATACCTTTTATAAATCACACTCCCTAACCAATAACATTCCTATGTAGCCTTATAAATCTACAAGGTTTTGTTCTTTGCTTCTAAAAACAAAAACAGCTCCTAAACCCGGAAAACAGACCATAAATCCATCAACAGAAAATAATTGGGATGCGATCCAGAATAAGAATAAACTAGAAATATTTCAATTTTACAACTGAACTTATATTTGAATTGTATAATCCGTCATTAAATTTATTAATATATTACATCAAAATATCAAGATATCATGCTCAAACATTATAGACAGATAGAGTCATCGCATGAAATGTTCAGTTCAATCTTAAATCCAATTTGAAAACAATGGCAAGCAAAGTATGCTAATTAGACCGGGTTAAAAGTAAAGCTAATAGAAAATTAAATCTGAAGAACACTTCCTTTGCCTTTTCAATCCTTCTCCACATCAACAGTGCTCAGATTACAAGGGAACAAATGTTTATAAAAGGTAGGGAATAAAATATAGTTGATGTTTGTTCATTTATGAAATCATGGTAGTGCGACAATTGGAAGAGCAATAATGCTATAAGGAACCATGAACGACAAGAAAATTCAGATTCACCTGCAATTTGTAGCGTCTACTCAAAGCCACGCACATTCTGGAAACAAAAGCAGAAAGTACGTTAATTACGTTCCAATATACTAAATAGTTCTTTAAATGCCAGTTTCAGACTGGTGCCCGGTTAGAACTGAAATAAAAAAAGTTTTGGGAATATACAGTATAATGGCCCTAGTGAACCCCGGAGCATTGTTATTGAACTGGGCAAACATCATTAAAATAGCCTTCAAACAACCGGAAAAAAGACAGAATCACGGTATATTTACTAAACCGGGAACACAAGCACAAACTTATGACTAAGTACAGCTATTACCCGATCTTTAAAAAAAAAAAAAAAAACTCAAACAGCTGTCACAATTTGAACAGCCCTGACACTTATTACCCCAACCTTATGGATGGGTCACTCCGATTACATTTAAGATTGAACTGAACATTTCATGCGATGACTCTATCTGTCTATAATGTTTGAGCATGATATCTTGATATTTTGATGTAATATATTAATAAATTTAATGACGGATTATACAATTCAAATATAAGTTCAGTTGTAAAATTGAAATATTTCTAGTTTATTCTTATTCTGGATCGCATCCCAATTATTTTCTGTTGATGGATTTATGGTCTGTTTTCCGGGTTTAGGAGCTGTTTTTGTTTTTAGAAGCAAAGAACAAAACCTTGTAGATTTATAAGGCTACATAGGAATGTTATTGGTTAGGGAGTGTGATTTATAAAAGGTATATAAATTACATTTTTTGTAAACTTATTTTGATGGAAAAAAAAAGTCTTGTAGATTTAAAAGGCTACAAAATGTTATGAATTATAATTTTTTGTTGATTAAGATTTTGTAATGTGTAATTTAATGGATATATATCAAGATATCTTTAGCCAAGATTTTAGGGTTTAGTTTGGTAAGGATAACTCTAGCGGAAGTAATGAGTTGTTTTACATGTTAAAAGATGTAAAATATCAGTTCCATTTATTCACCTCATTAGTTCAAACAGAAGTAATCTTAAGAAAAGTAATTTACCATTTAGTAATTTTTTTATTTAGATTAATTATGGTATATACTAATATTTATTAATATAAAATAATTAAATTTAATTAGTAACTTTGTAAAAAACTAACATTTTTAGTGAAAATTTTAATTCATTTTTTTCTTGAAAAAATAATTACTTGAGTAGTCAATCGCACAATGCTTTAATTTAAAAATAATTTTAATTATTTAATTCTTCTATACACTTATAATTTTGAAAAATAAATAGAAATTTTTTATGATAAATTATAATAATATTGATAATTAATTGAAATTCTAAAAGAAACAGTTGATATAGAAAATACAATTTTTGAGGTGGAAAAAATGTGAGCAAAATTTTCTACACTAAACATAGAAAATTCATAACTTCATCTTTTTTTAAGGTTGTGTCTTCAACTTTCCAATGCTTTTCTTTCTCCGTATTTGGCTACGTCTTTATTTCCCGCGTTCCTTTCTTCTTGGGCGCCCTTCTTCCACTTCCCTTTTCCTTTCTCCTTAGCCTTTTTTTTGTTTTTTCTTAACCACTTCGCATCGGAACGATGGTTTTGCCTGGCTCCGTTGCAGTTACACGTGATTTAGTGTGATGACTCCACGTGGTTTCGTTGTTGCCTCCGAGGTCGAGATCAGGCCGTCCTTGGTCAAGATCTGAGCGTCTGTGTCAGAGATCATTGCTCGCGCATTGTTGCTTGTGTTCACGCCGCGTTGTGATTTTTTGTTTGTCTTTTTGTGGTGATATATATTATGTTTCATGTTTAAATCTATGTTCCTTCATTTGTGTTAATATGTTTATCTCTTCTGCGGTTTGTTCCTTTCACGGGTAACGGTTTTGTTAGTCAAATAAAATAATAATGTGTACTTTTAAGCAATAATTGCTTGAAGAAGCAACTGAGACAAATTTTAAGCAAGAAAATTATGTAATCACAGTTGAAAAAAAGTATGAATTCTTGATCTGTCAATGTGTCAGTCTCCCAAAATTTAAGATATTATTTTTTGGTAAAAGATTTATGACAACTAAGGAAGCTTGTGATATTCTAAACAAATCATATGAAGTTGTTGAAAAATCAAGGTAAAGTTTCAGTTGCTTGAAGCCAGAGGTTTCATTCAAGCAAATAACGACCAAGGAATTTTGACTCTTAATTATTTGACTACATTGTGATGGCAATAGAGGAATAAAAAGTTGTTGGAAATATGAAGGTGGAGGAGTTATAGATCTTCCTTGAAGTCATGAATAAAGGCCTCTTATGAGTAATGCTTAAGAGAATCAATGCTTAGGTTTTCACATGTAGAAGCTTTTGGAAGAAATTATAGTTGGGACAACTAAAACAAGAAGGAGAATTGGAAGAACAAATTAAAAGATTTTGGTGAAAGTCCTTCTAGGCTCTCAAATTGAAATTTTGGTGGTGACAATCATAAAAAAGAATGAAGGTCATGAAAAATTTGGCCAGAGAATAGAGGAAATCAGAGTAAAGGAGGAAAATATGATAGAATTATCCATAATGGGATCATTAAGAATAATATAAGGGAAGGGAAAGGACACAAGATGATAATCATGATTTGGTTTCAAATATGATTATTAGTATTTAGACACTAAGTGATCAAATCGCACGACTGAAAATAAAGAATGGTTTGTCATTAATATGGACTAAAAAGTTAAAAAAATAAAAAAGTTGAATGATAATAGGACTGCTAGAGTCAAAGGAAAGCATAATGTTCTTATTAAAAGAAGAGATGAAAATTAAGTATTTATAATAAATGTTCTATAAATGCAATAAATGAAAACCAATTTGATAAACTTCAGATAATTATTGGAGAAATGTTATGTCATGAATATGAAGTAGAATACAATGAAAATGGAAGACCATTGTTAGTATTAACATGTTAAGACGCAACTGTTGTATATATACAATTTTATATAATCAAATGATCATATAGCCAGTCTCTCATAATCACGTAAGCTTGTTCGGCATCCACATCTTCTTCAGGAGATCCAGGGCGGTGAGCGAATCCGTGACCTCTACCTGGGAACACCACTACTTTGGAACCCCCGCAAATTTTTTTCTGAATATTCTCTATTTCACTTACCACGCAAAGTGGGTCATTATATCCTAAAATAAATAAGACAGGAGCCTTTATATCAGAAGCAGCAAGGTGAGCCATCCTTGTACCATAAAAGGAGATTCCAGTGCCAAAACAAGAACCTTGATCTTGGGCCAGCACCTTTAACACTTGGCCACCTCCAAAGCAGAAGCCAATAATGCCAAGTTTCTTGGAAATCCCTGCAGCCATAAATTCATCAACCAGCCATTTTGTCCATCTGCTAATGTCTTCTGCTATCCTCTCTAGGTTTTGTCTAGTAATCCACTTTTCAAACACATCTGGCTGCTCCTTTGTCCATGGATTTCCACGAAATAAGTCTGGAACTAGAATGCTGCAAATTTGTTCGAAGTAAATTCGCTAACAATGGTATCATAAAGTGAAAACAGCCACTACACAATGTGGATTGCAAATCTTAATACGTTATTGATGAGTAGGAGTTGAGGAGCATACTTGTAACCATTGCAAGCTACCCGATATGCAAAATCTCTAGTGAAAGAATCCTCAAACCCGAAAACATCTGAAAGAAGCAATAGACCTGTTCCATTGTTATTTTTTACTGCCTTGAACAGATAAGCACGGATATTATCATCACCCTCCCCAAGTGAAAGCTCCACTCCATTGACTAATTCACATGCTTCATCATCTATCCCATCTTCCACATTCAGTAAACTACATGATATTTTTGAGTCTGCAGCATCTTGAGTTGGTTTTCGAAGATTCAAAT